CAGGCCCCTTGTGACCTCTTGAAGCTAGATGCAGATTTGTCTATCCGTTCTATGGCCCTAGAAGCAGATTGGGGATCTTAGTTGCTTGATTTCCCAGGGGAGGCCGACATGAATGTGGTCCAGTGAAATGTAATCATTGACTTTCTGTATAGTATCTATTTCAACTTTTCCCAAGCCTGCTGGCTGCCAGATCTCGACCTTCCATCCCTAGGGTGGTATAAGTCTCTCCCTGTACAGGATGGAGTTGATGGATTTCTTCCTGTAGTATGGTGGGCCTAAGGACTGCCTCTTTGAATTCTGTATTTCTAGGCATCTTTTCCTGCAAATCAAGGTAGGTTTTTGTATGCAGCTAATTATCCTGTATGTGTGGCCAGGAATGCTATGCATTGCTCCTACAGTGTCCCTTATTCTAAGGGAGTGGAGAGAAGCAGGCAGGGGCCCCTTTCCACTTGCTCAAAGGAACTTTCAGGAGCTGCACTTCTTGTACGCTGAATCCCACAGGCCACCGAGGACACTTTCCCTTCGTCATTGCCTTGTTTAAAATGGCTTTACTGAGGCCTATTTTGCATGTAGTAAAATTCACTCACTGTAAGCATCCAGTTGGATGACTTTGGGTAAATGTACACTAGTATGCAGCCAACACCACAGTCAATTTGAACAGTTCAATCACCCAGCAAGCTCCCTTGTTTGCCCTTTTACATTTAATCTCTCCTCTGTCCACTGCCTTGAGCCCAGGTAACCATGGACTTGGTTTCTGATGTTTTCAAGTTTTACTTTCTTAGAATTTCACATAAATGGAATCATATGCTATATAGTCTTGTGTGTCTAGCTTCTTTTCCTTGGTAAAATGGCATTAGAAATTTGCTCCTCTTGTTATCAGTAGTTTGTTTCTTTCTATTTTGAGTAGGATTCCATTGTGTGGATAGTCTGCTGTATGCATTCAGCAATTGATGGACACTGGGATTTTTCCATTTGGGGGCTAAGATAAATAATGCTTATATGAACATTTTCATATTCTTTGTGTGGATATGTTTTTATTTCATCAAGATAAATATCAAAAAGTGAAAGATATGTATGCAGTTGAATGAGTTTCTATTTAATTTTTTGAGAAATTGCCAAACTGTTTTACAAATCACCTGTGCTATTTTTGTATCCCACTATCAGTGTCTGTGGGCTCCTTTTGCACCGTATCTTTGCCAGCACTTGGTGTTGGCATTATAACTTTAGTTCTAGTGGTTGTAGCATTACCTTATTGTAGCTTTTTTTCTTTTTCTTTTTTTGTTTTTTGTGTTTGGTTTTCAGCTTTTTATTTTGAGATAGTTTTAGATTCTCAAAAGTGTTGCAAAGACAGTGTGGAGAGTTGCTTTAGCATTTGCCCAACTCTACTAGCACAGTGGTTCTCAACCAAAAGTTATTTTGCTTGCAAGGGACCTTTAATTGTGGCTGGAAATATTTTTGGTTGTCACATATTGGGGGCAGGGGATGCTATAGATAGACATCTAGCAGGTAGTTGGGGGCACTATTTAACACCCTGGAATATACAGGAGCCCCCACAGCAAAGAACCATCTACTCGAAAATGTCAGTAGTACTAAGGGCAGGAAATGCTGCTTTAAGGTTTATGTCAGATAGAAACATGTTATATTTACCAAGGCTAAGATGTTAATGTTAGCAGTGTCCAATGCTGTTAACTAAACTGCAGATTTTACTTGGATTTCCTGTCTTCCCATTGGTACTGTGTTTTCTGTTCCAGGACTCTGTCCCAGGTGCCACCTCACATTTGGTTGTCTCTTTAGATGCCTTCAATCTCTGAGGACCTCTTGGGCTGTACTTGTCTTACGTGACCTTGACGGTTTTGAAAAATAATGAACAAGTGTGTTTGTGTCTGAGGTTATATGACACAGAGATGATAAGCCCTTCTTCATTGAGCTATATTAGGAGTTTCATGATGTCAATATGACCCATTGTTGGTGACGCTGACCTTGACTGCACAGTTCGGATGAGGTCTGTCAGACCCATGATGGTCTGCATTTTTCTGAAGATTTGTGATGTGGAATTTTTTTCTTGTTTCTTATATATGAATAAATAACTATATGCACATAAACTTATCTATTTGTATATATTTGCATATATGCATATATTTTACACTTATTAAAATGTAATGACTTTATTGAGATTTAGTTTACACATCATACAGTGTACCACCTTAAAGTATACAAGTTGATGGTTTTTAGTATATTCACAGAGTTGTGAACTTTAAAACGTTTACCACCACAAAAAGAAACCATGTTCTCCATCTGTCCTTAGTCCCCCAGCCTGGGAATCCACCAATCTCCTTTCTGTCTCCATTGATGTGCCTCGTCTTAAGCATTTATAAAGAGGTAATTGCAGGATGTGTGGTCTTCTGTGACTGACTTTTCACTCAGCGTACTGTTTTTATGGTTCATTCATGTATCGGTACTTTATTTGTTTTTATTGATGAATAATATTCCACTGAATGGATGTACTGTATTTCATCTACCCATATACCAATTGATAGACACTGAGGCTGTCTCCAGCTTTTGTCTTAAGAATAATGCTTCTGGATAATTGATGAACACATTTTCAAAAATTAGGCTGCCTCATTATTGAGTTGTGAGAGTTATCTGTGTATTATGTGCAAGTCTTTTGCCAAGTATTTTCTCTAATCTCTGGCTTGTCTTTTTTTGTTTTATTAATGGCATGATTTGGGGAGCAAAAGTGTTGAATTTTGATGAAGTCCAGTTTATCAATTACTTTATTTTTTGCATTGTCTATTTTGGGACCTCAGAAAAATTGCTAACCTAAGTTCAGAAAGATTTTTTTCTTTTCGGATAGTTTTATGTTTTAGCTCTTAAATTTATAATGCATTTTGAATTATTTTTTGTGTATGACATGAGGTAAGAATTAAGGCACGTTTTCCCCTCTGAATATCTATTTTTTCTAGTATCACTTTTTGAGAAGACTGTCCTTTCTCTGTTTACCTTTGTAAAAACCACTTGGTGATACATATGCGTGGACCTTTTTCTGGACTCTGATAATGACTTTTACCTATTTCTTCCTGTAGTTTTATCTTCTGCTGTATGTAGTGTGGCGTTCTACTATTAGGTACATAGACATGTAGGATTATTAAGTCTTCTGTACAGTTTTATCCCTTTATCATCATGCAATAACTTTCTTTATCCATGGTGGTATTCTTTGTCTAATATCTACTTTTTCTGATGCTAATATAGCCACTACAACTTTCCTTTGACTATTGTTAGCGTAAAATAATCTTTTTTCATCATTTGATTTTTAACTTATTTGTATCTTTACACTTAAAGTGTGTTTCTTGTATGCATTGTACAGTTGGGTAACACTTTTCTATCCAGTGTAGCAATCTTTGTCTCTTAATTGGAATGTTTAAAACAGTTACACTTAATGCAGTCATTGGTGTGATTAGGTTTATGCCTGTCACCGTGCTGTTTTCTTCTTGTCACATCTCTTTTGTTCCTCTTTTTGTTCTTTATTTGCCTTCTCTTGGATTAATTGAGTATTTTTATGATTTCATTTTGTCTTTTTAAAATAGTTTCTTAGAAATAATTTATCATTTTGTTACGTTAGTGATTGCCTCCTAGTCTTTATGCTGTATCTTGCATTTTACTTATACATGTGTTTTAAATCCACAATACACTATTATTATTTTTACTTAGATAATTATTTCTGAAAGAGTTTTACATAATAGGGTGAAACTTCATATACCTACCTATGTGTTAACCATTTCCAGTGCTCATTACTCCTTCACGTAGGTTCAGATTTCTATTTGGTGTCATTTTATTCCTGCCTTAAGGTTTTCTTTTATTGTTTCTCACAATTCAGTGATGAATTCTTTCCACTTTTGGGTGTTTAAAAGTATATTTTTTAAAGTTCTTATTTTCTGTCTTGGGTGGTTCACATTGGCCTCCTGGGGTGGAGGATCTGTCCTTTTGAATACGCCTTCCTTGAGTATATCCCCATCACTCATCAGGAGCCATTCAGCTCTTACAGTTAACCTGAACAGAGATCTCAAGGGTTCTCCTTAGTAGGCCCCCACTAGCTCAGAGCATGCTTGTGGACTCTGTCACTTGATGCTGTAGTGACAGTCACATTTTCTCCTCTGATGGCACCTCTTCTGTGTTTCAGGTGCCCGAGTGCTCACAGTTCCTTTGTCACCTGTGGCCTCATGGGAGCTGCCCCAGTCCTTCTTCTGTTTTTCAGCTTCAGGCTGATGTGCTCCTCTCCTGTATGTTGCTGGGGCCTTGTGACCAAGGGCAGCTTCACTTTCTTGAAGTAACTACCACTGCTGGCTTTGTCTCTTGGCCTTTGATTCTCTTGACCAAACCTGCCCATAGCTTTCCTTATGCTTTCAAAAACAAGTGAGCATTGTATTCCTTCTTGTTTTATGGATTTTATGGATGATCTGCTTAGGGAGATGCAGACTAAAAATAATAAATATGGGAAATGCCTGAATTTTTAGCTCACTTGGGACCTTGCACTTGCTAAGCAGGTGCTTTGCCACTTGATGCCCCAGCCAATTCCGGAAATTCTAAAAGTTCCCTCCAGCCTCTTATAATTGCTAGTTCCTCATCTCTAGTCACAGAGAGAACCAGTGCATGTCTCTCTGGGCCTTTTTCTTTCTGTGTTTGTGGGTTACTTAATTCCCTTCCACTGTCCTGGGCCTTTTCTTCCAAGAACATCTAGACCTAAAGAATCAATCAATGAAGAAGGAAAAGATTTTTCCCTGTCTCCCGTAGACAGTTTCAAACTCAAATGACTGCCAGACTAGAAGGAATGGGTTCCAGTTCCACTACAGTTTTGATTCACATTAGGATACCCATCTCTGGACAGCCTTTACTGTTCTCTGCCCTCCTTTAGGATGCAGGTTCTTGTGATCCCCTACTCCATGGTCCTATTCCTGTTCCTCGAATCCTTCAGTAACTGTGGAAATTGTTTCTTGTCTCCACAGTCAGATTATTGCCAGAGGACTTCTTGATGTCTTGCGGGACTTCAGCAGCAATGAAGAAGACTTTCGAACAGTAATGGAGATTGTGGTCAGACTGTCAGAAGATGGAGGTTTGTATAATTACTATATAATTTTTCCTTGCACATTCCTAAGAAATTACGTACAACTAGTGGTTGCTGAATTTTAAAAAACTTGTTTATTAATTGATCGGCTTTAAGCATTGTCTGACCATTTTATCTGAAAATGACTCAAATTGTCCTTACTTTTGGAAAATTAGAACGACTTAATGGCTATGAATGCTGTTTGCCCTGGCAGTTAGGCCTTTTGTGTTTCTCGAATTTTGCTAAGAAATACCCAATCAAAAGAGGTGCTTTGGATTAGAACAATCCCAGTTGTTAGTTTCTCTCACCTGTGATCTCTGTGGGCTAATCTTGATTTTTCTTTCTCTTCTACCTGCCATGATTGCTATTCTGGAAGAAAACCACATTGCTGTACGGCAGACGCTGTGACTTTGTCTGCCTCCCCACCCCCGCCACACACAGTAAAGATGAGTAAGATGAATGAGTGGTGGGCTTGCCAGTCCTGACAACTGCCCTGCAGCACCCCCTTCCCTGCACTCATAATGAATGGAGAGCGGCTGCAGAAAGTTCCGGAAATCTCAGGCCCTAGAATTTGATCATTTTAACTGAAAATAGAAAAATAAGCCTTCCCCCTAGCTCCCATATTAGTTTAAAATATTCATACGACTATGACACAATGCTTTTAAAAAGGCCCAAGTGGATGTTTTGAGTCTTTAAATGGATTTTCTTTGTAAATGAGTCACCATTTACATGCTGCAGCAATTACGTATTTGTGTTAAATTTGATGTGGTGTATCGGAGCTAGAGCCTCTCTTTTGTTTAATGCTTTACCGTAGGAATAATTGGGATGCGTGGATTGTGGGGGAGTGCATTTATGAAAGAACTATTTACAATGTATACATTCTGGCTGGAGTTAAAATAAGCGCAACCCATAGGTCTGCTATATAAGCCATTAGTTGTAATGGCTTTTGGACGCTGGCCCAGCACGCAGATTTCTTGCTCCTTCCTCAATTTATATATGGCTTGTTATAATAGAGTTGTCATTCTCTCCTCCTTTTATATTTTTATATTACCATACAGCTTATTAGCTTTTTAAGCCTGTCTGTAACATAAATACTCAAAATGGGAAATGATTTTTAAACTGCATTTGTTTAATTTCCTTGATGAAGTATTTTAGTAAGAAAAGCTAGAAACTATCAGGATATACTATGTAAGATGCTTGGCTTATTCTTACAATTCCTTCTCATTTTTTGTTGCTGTAGAGCCCACAGTGAGGACCGAGCTGATGGAACAGATTCCTCCTGTCGCCAGTTTCTTACGAGAAAACAGATCAGATTTTCCTATGGTGCTCTCTGCATACCTCATACCTCTTGTAGTGAGGTATCTGACTGACCCAAACAATCAGGTTTGAAAATTGGCCACCTTAAGATCTCTAGCAGATTCCATGCAGTCATATTTTAGCTGGTATTCTTAATTCAGAAAACACCTTCGAGTTAATTGACTTACAGGAGAAGGTCCTCTCATCCTGTGGACCTCTTATCTGCAGATTTTGTCTTTTCTTTAACTTTTTTGTCATGGAAGTGTGTGGACGTACACACAACAATAGAGAGAATTCGAAAGTGAGTGCTTGCGTACTCTTCACTGCTTCAACCATGGTTAACATTTCAGTAGTCATCCTCCCATTAATCTTACCCAGATAGAATCCATCCCAGATGGAGGCAATCCCGAAGCACCCTATCACTTCAGCTGTACACCTTAGCATGGCTCTCTAGGAAATGAACACTCTTTTTAGAAAACATAATGACAATACCATTATTATAATCATAAAAATTAGCAATAGTTACGTAATATTATCTGATATCTAGTCTTTGGTCAGAGTGTCCCAGTTTTCTCATATATATGTGGGTTTTCTTCTTCTTTGTTTTTTTTTGAGACAGGGTCTCAGTATGTAGTCCACACTGTTCTCAAACTCATGATCCTCCTGCCTCAGCCTCCTGAGTATTGGGATTACAGGTGTGCACCACCACCTCACCTAACTGAAAACGTGTTTTTTGTAGGTAGTCTTTTCAAATCAGAATATAAACAAGGTCCCTGCATTGGATTTGTTTGATACATCTCTGAATTAAGTTCATAACAGCTGTGCCCACTCCACTTTTCCCATCCCTATGTATCTATTGAGAAAACCAGGCCATTAGTCCTGGCTGGTTGCATCTAGCGTTCAAGTGTCCTTCTCTTCCAAGCATTTTCTAGAAGCTGGTAGTTAAGTCCAGAGGCTCAGTGAGACACCTATTTTCTGTTTTCCTGCTGCCTCATGTTCTGTGTCCTGATGTTGAACCTGGTCACTATCACCTGCAGGTGTTGTCAGCCTCACCTTTCCCATGAAGCTTGCTACCCACCTGTGAGAAGCCACAGTTGGCACTGCTGAGACCCAGTGTTTCATTGGAGGTTGGGCAGTTCTCACATTGGATCCCATCCCTCCTTCTTGATGTAACTAGAGTTCTTCTGTAAAGACCTATCCTTATTAACTACTTAGTAACCAAAAAATCTGTCTGTATAGAAAAGACAGGATAAATCTATATTTTCTCTCTTTATTTGCCAGTTTCCAGAATAATTAGTTGGTGTCTTAATAATCTGCAAAGGTAGTCCATTAGGTTTTTAAATTTGTTGGTTTTAGTAGTATTATGAACTCCCGAATTTTAACATATTAAGTAGGTTTCAATCCATTGTGGGCATTGTTCTTTTTGATCAAATTGTTCTACTTTTAACATGTGGGAGGCCTTAATGTTGACCCCAGTAGACTTTGTAGTACACCTGTACCCAGAGCTGGCCATTCCTCCAAGGAGGTCGGGTTCCCTAACAGGCAATGATGAAAACTCAGAACACTGGCACCAGGGCCACTCGTAGCTACAAGCTGGATCTTTGTTCCTAGTGACAGAGCAATTTATTTTTTAAATAAAATCCTTCATAAATTTATATTGATACTTCCAACTCAAATTTAGAATTACAGAGCTTTTACTTCCTTGACTTCGTATTTGTATTTTTTTCCCTTATGATACAGATCTTGTTTCTTAGTAACATTAATGTGTGTGTATTCAAAATGAAATCCCCATAGCATTGCTGACATACAATAGGAATACTGAATGTAGGTTAAGATCTCTCTGCACTTCTTTTTTATCTTTACATTGCATGCACTGGGGACACAGTCACATTCATGTCACTTGCATCACTCTAGTAGTTAAGGCACCAACTTGATACACAGTTATGTTCATTTGTTTTTAATTTGTGTGATGGGTGAGGGGTACCGCTGTGGTATTAGGAATTGAACCCAAGGCCTTGCATGTGCTGGGCAAGTTCTGCAACTGAGCTGTATCCTTAGCCTGCTTTTGTTTTGGGACAGAGTCTTGCCAGGTTGCCCAGGCTGGCCATGAACTTGTGATTCTTCTGCCTCCCAAGTAGGTGGGATTACAGGTGTGCTTTACCATGTCTGGCTGGGTTTTTTTTGTTTTTGCTTTTTGAGACAAGGGCCCATTCCATTGTCCAGTTCAGCCTTGAACTCCTGGACTCAAGTGATCTCTTGCCTCAGCCTCATGAGTAGCTAGGACTATGGTACATTTCACTGAACCTGGACTTTTTTTTTTTTTAACTCAGATCCTTCACTGTGAGCCATTCCGCCAGCCATTTTTGTAACAGGTATTTTCAAGATAGGGTCTTGTGAACTATTTGCCTGAGCTGGCTTTGAACTGTGATCCTTCTGAGTTCTGCCTCCTGAGTAGTTAGGATTACAGGCGTGAGCCACCGTCACCTAGTCTAGACATTTATTTTTAAGAATAGCTTTAGCTTTTACATTTTGATTTATAATTATTTTAAATGTTTACTTAATTCCAAGGTTAAAACTCTAATAAAACAAAATATATTCAGGAAGTCTGACTTCCCTCCCTTTCCCTTCACCTGTCCTTTCCCTCTGCTCTAGGTAACTATATCTTTTAGTGTTTGGCTGTTCTTATAGTTTGCAGATTAAGTCCTTGTGTTTTGTACCCCATCTTTCCTCCTGTGTGCAGTGCCATGTCCTTCTTGCTGTTCTGCCCTGCTTTCCCTATGCAACATGCACTGGATTCAGGGTCACAGCAGTCTGTGGAGTTCTTCTTTGCTCCTTCTTTCTGCAGTATCCAACCCCATTGGGGGACAGGGCATAGTTTATTAGACATTGAGGTTATTTCTAGTCTTTTGCCATTTTAAAATTGATTTGAGGAATAACCTGCATCATTTCTATTTGTGCCAGTGTGTTTGGGGGATGGCTTTCCAAAAGGGGTAAATATATTTAATTTTTAATGATTGCCAGAGTTTTTATTGTCATTATTTTCAAGAAATTCTGAGATTTTGGCTTGTATTTTTTTCCCTCTTCCAGTGTTTTTAAAAGAGTAGATACTCAATTTTAGCTGTTAAGCAGTGTGACAGGACTCAATGGAGTTTTAAATAAGGAAAAAGTCATCCTATTTCCATTTTCCTAAAGTGGGTATTTTGATTATTTTTGCATTTTCCTCTCTGTGTGCTCACAATGTTCCCACTTGGGTCTAATCGTAACGTGGTGCAGTTTCTTCCATTCTTTCATTTGTTTCGACAGTTTCTGAGTGCCCATTAGGAGCAGAGCACAGAGTGTTGTGCCTAGGGATAAGAGTTGAGCAGGACTGATTTTCTGCCCTCAGAAAGCTCGTCCATGGACCATAAACATTTTTCCTCCATTTCTTCATAGTCTTCCTGGTTTTAATTTTGTTGACTGTTTAGAGCTCCTTGGCTTTTCTTGTGCTGTAGATACAGTAAATGTAAAGGATGCACTTTTGCTTCTGCTGGCTTTTCTTTCTCCTTGGACACATTTTAACAATGAGATTACACCGGGTTAGGGATTTGACATTTTCTTGATCTTTGTCATCTGTTGTTGCTGTATATTTTGTTCTGGAAGAGTAGAGGTAGGAAGGGTGGTTTCCATCACAGGATCTATCTTAGCATCCGATGCCCACTTTGTGTCTATTGAGGAAGTGCCTGGAGCTTGCCCTCCCTACCATCAGTCCAAGCTGACTCCCACTTGGGCCTGCAGCCCACCTTCCCCTGCGCCTACCCCCCAGTAGCTCCCAGCTACCTGCTGTCTCCACAGCTGTTGTGTATCTGAGGGTCCCTCCCCAATCTGGTCTCCCACTCTGATCACCACTCTCCTTTCCTTTCCTCCACTGCCCTGGCTGTCCCATCCCGCCCCCAGAGGCCCTTGGCTCCAGGGCCTGCATTCACTTCCTGTTCTTCCTCAGGTGCTCCTCTCTTCCCCATCTCTACCATCACCTCCATATTTTTGCCCTCCGACAGTCCTTCCGCCTCACTGACTGCCTGCGCAGCCTCACCTAACATCCTCCACTCCCGATTACTGAGCTCTGTGGTTGGTGGGAGGGAAAAGGTGAAGGAGGGAGAGAGGAGCGGAGGGAGGTAAGGTGTCCAATCACACATTGATTGGTGCCATTGCAAATTTATGGGTTCCAATCGCAGCAGGACCTGCAGCGCTGCTTGGCAATCCTTTTCCTTGTCCCTCATCAGCTGCTTTTCACATTATCCTTGGCAGTTCTCTTAGACCTTTGCCACTCTCATCAGGCCCCTCACCTCGCCCTGCCTTGCGTCAAGCAGGTGACCTTGCCTTTGACATTGAGAAGAAAATAGAGGCCTTCAATCTTCATCCCCTATTGCAACAAATGGAACCACCATCTGCTTTATTCAATTCCCCTGAGTGCAACCTGGGAACCGTTGGAACCCTTCCCTCTTACCTCCTACATCCAATTAGACATAGCACATTTCCTTTGTTTCTGTCATAAACACCTAACCCTGAAGGCACCCCCTTCTTCACGTCCACCATCTTTAAGCCCAGAGCTGTGAGAAAGTCAATGTTATTGAGTCTATTCAGACTACTTACTCCCTGGGGCACAGCCCAGCCCTGGGGGCCACCTCTCCTATCCCAGCAAGTTCTACCATCAACCCTGCCAGGGTCTGCTCATCTGGCTGTGCCTGCTCTTCCCAGTGTCCTCTCTGCCCCTGTCAGCGTCCACCTCATGTTAACAGATGCTGGCTCTCACAGACACACACAGTGGGCCACTGGCCCTGCTCAAAGGTCCTGTAGAGTTAGGATTTTGGTGTGGCAGAGACAAAGGGTACTTTGACTTTGGGTGTGTCTGCCGTGTCCTGCCGGGCATCAGCCTCTCCTGCCAGCCTGTTCACTGGCAGGCACCTTTCATGGCTGCTGAACACCAGTCATGTAGGTGAGGAGTGCGCTCAGAGTGCTGGCGTAATACCTGAATTTCAGGGAGGACTGCTGCTGCAGCTTCCAGTGGTGGGTGCCATGCTCCAGGACTAGTGTGGATGTGTCCTTTACTCTTCCCACCAAACTGGGAAGTATGGAGAATGCTCCTTATATGTTCATTTTTGTCAGAGGTCAGGAGGCTGAGGTACAGAAAGTGGGATTGTGGCTGGATGTGGGACCTGGCTCCTGAAACTCACCTGTCTTTGGGGGTGGTGAAAGCTTTTTTCTGGACATTGTACCATGAGCTTTTTACCCATCCTCAAATCCGAACCCCTGACTGTTGGAGTGCTCTTATTTTCTTGACCTCTGTGGTGTTTTACTGATTTGTGGAGCTGAAGTAGTTATAAACTCTGCTTATCTTAAAGCTGCATTTCATCAGCAGACCTGAGCTCCTGCCCTCTGGTTTTGCCTTATGGCTTTTTAGACGAGCATCTTCACTTTGCTCTCTGGTTCACAGCTTGCTTGTTTTGCAACTCTCATTGGCTTTTCTCTTCCCATTATGATCATACCTCAGTCTCCCTTGTCTCTGTTCCCTGACCTTGACCCAGAGTATGCCACACACGCCCTTCCTCACAGCTGAGCCCTTGATGGAGGACCTAACTGCAGCCTGCACTCGGCTCTCATGCACAGATGTCCGCCCCTGGGCCACAGCTGATGCTCCTGAAAAGCCAGTCAGTGGACTCAACTGATAGGCTCATTGGAAAATCCAATCCAGTGCTTTTTTTTTTTTTAATGTCTTAAAATATGTAATCGCAAAAAAGAATATTGTATAATAAACACCTGTATATGTACCATTGATACTCGGCAAGTGTGCTCAGCTTGCAGTTTTGCTTGATTTAGAGCTCACAGCTATGATTCCTAAGTGCTCTCTACCCCTCCCTGCCATAGAAACCGCCACCCTTCACATCCAGGTTGTCACAGTCACCCCATGTGCGAAGTGCTTCTGTGTCATTGGGGGCTTTAACACTTCGAGTTAATGATACAGATTCTGCATCCCATTCTGCTGATTGCTTTGTACCTGTGCTTTAGGTCCATCCACAATGGTCATTTTCAACATGAGAGCTCGTGTTTTTATTCCTCCGCCATTTAGTTATTTCACTGCAACTGCTTTTTCTTTGCTAAGTCTGTTTGCTCCGTTTGTCCCTGTTAAACATTTTGAGCTTCTGAGGAACCTTTGCCAGATACCCACCAGGTATTTAACACTGTTCCACCCGAGAAACCAGGATGAAAAGGGGACCAGATATGTCCTTAGACCCTCCTGAGACCTGCACCAGGACCCTCTAAACTCTCCTTGTCCGGGTTTCAGGCAAGAGCAGCTTTGCTGATAGTGACAGCTGGTGTTCTTTTGGGCACCGATGTCCCAGATCTCTCCTCAGCCCTTGGCATCTGTGAAGTCCTTTCATTCCCAGCCCTGTGAGACTGGCTAGTTCTACAGATGTTCCTCAGTTTACAGTGATGGTGCAAAAATGTACCAAGACAGCCATTCTGTTTTTCACTCTCAGCACAGTATTTAGTAAGTTACATGAATACTCCATACTATTATAAAATAGACCATATGTTAGGTGATTTTTTTTGCCCAACTGGGGACTGATGTAAGTGTTCAGAGCATGCAAAGTGGTTAGACTATGATGTCTGGTAGGTTAGGTGTATTACATGCATTTTTGGCTTAAGTTAAAAATGTTAAGTTTGGCTTAAGTTAAGTTGAAAACTTCAGATGGGCTTATCAGGACATAAGCGCATCACAAGTCTAGGAACATCAGTATAATTATCTAGTTTTGCAGATGAAGAAACTGAGGCTTAGAGATGCTAAGTCACTTGCCCAGATGAGTCACCTAGTAAACTGCAGAATAAGGACCAGAGCACAGCAACAGATTACCTGCCAGAGTCCAGAATTCCTAAGCACCCCCTCTGGGCTTCCATAGTTTTCTCTGCCTCGTCCCTGACCTCAGGAGTGCTTGAGTAGCTCCCAGTCTCCATCGCTAGTCCCTGGGCCTCTGCTAGTCCTTGAGGGTTGGTGTGCTATAGGATATTACTGTCTTTGGACTTCTTTTCTTAATAATCCCAGAGCTCCCTAGGGGAAATCCAGCTGAGAGCAAACACCAGACTGCTGTCTCCCACCCAGGTCTGACCACCACTGCCACAGCCCAGTAGAAGGCCCACCTGAGGTCCAGTGAATCCCCTGGAGCTCGGACTCTACTACTTAGCCCTGCTCTCTTGCTGTCTTTACCATCAGTCTTGTTCTTCCTTCCGTTTCGTCCATTTTGGCTGCTCGTAGCCTGGCAGTCAGCAGGGTTGCTTTTGGTTCCTGTGATCATCAAAGTAGCTGTTGGGCAGGGTCTTGGCCCACCTTTCTTCTGTCTGCTAAAACTAGAAGCTCCTCCCCTGTGCTCAGCCTTCAGAACCAGTTTAGATTTCCACACTGTCACCCTGTTTGAGACCCAGTGTGGCCCTGATTTTTAGCCCTTGGTGGCTTCTCTTTGCACCTAGAGTGGGTCACCAGAGGTCTTAGTGGGGTATTCGGTATCTTTCCCAGTCCTACCTCAGCTTGCCCCAGCCACTTGTTGTGCCCTTCCTCCCTGGCTCCTAAATCCTGTCATCTGGAACTTGTCTCACTTCCCCTTAGCTCATCACATGAACCCTTTGAAAACATGCTGTTTCCTGAATCTGGCACTCCCTTCATCACCCCTTTCCTGACTTGGTGGGGTGGCTATAACAAAGTACCACAAACTGGATGCCTTAGAACATCAGACCTGAGTTCTCCTACAGTTGCAGAGCGAGAGTCTTAAACGAAGTGTTGTCGGGATTGGGCTCCCCTCCTCTCAGGAGGGTGGGGGAATGGGTGGTTCTGGGGCAGCTCCTTCCTCAACTCTCCCAGCTTCTGCTGGCTGCCAGCTTTTTTGACCTATGGCCACCTCACTTGACTGTCTCCTTCTTTCTGTAGGCAGTCTTCTCTTCTTCAGTGCTTTCTCCGCTTGTCCTTTTCTTGTAAGGCACTTGTGATGACATTCAGGCCTGCCCAGCTAATCCTGGATGCCCTCAAGGTTCTTACCTTAATTGTGTCTGCAAAGGTTCTTCTCCAAAGAAGGTCACTGTGTTAGTCAGCCTTCCTCTACTATGTCAGAATACCTGAAACAGTAAACTTTTAAGGAGGAGAGGTTTACTTTGGCTTATGGTTTCAGAGGTTTCAATGCATTGTCAGTTGGCTATGTTGCTTTTGGGGCTAGGTAAGGTAGAATATCATGGCAGGGAGCATGTGATAGAACAAAGCTGCTCACCTCATGGTGGCCAGAAAGTAGAGAGACAGAGACTGTCATCCCTTTATCCTCTTGAAGAGCACAACCCCAATGACCTAATTTCCTTCTACTGGACTCCACATCCTAAAATGTTCTACCATTTCCCAATAGGAGATGAATTCTAATATTGATGAATTCTAATATTGTTCTAATATTGAAGGCAGCCAAGCCTTCAATACATGAACCTTTGGGGGACATTCAGAGTCCAAACTATAACATTCATATTCACAGATTCCAGGGATTTGGTGTAGACATTTATTCTTGGGAGCTGCCACTCAATACACTGCCTTAGGAGGCTTCTGTCTTTTTACATCTGGTTCCATGTCTACTGCTCAGGGCCTTCCCCTCCCTGTCTGCTGTGACTGCATCCCTACAGCTCTCTGTGCATCCTCTTGCAATTCCTGGGAGAGAGCCAAGCAGCAAGGCAGCATTGAGTATCTCTCATCTCTGGTCTTCTCATGTTCTCTGCTGCTGACATATGCCATACCCTCAGGCAGTATTTGACACCTTAGAGTCACTGTGGACATTTGCTTCTTCTAGCTGCACCCAGTTCTGTCACCATGTTGGGCAGTATTGCCAGGCATCACCTTCCCGTATGTGGACAGCAAGTATGGCCTCGTCCCTCCCACCTGGGTTGTTGCAGTTGGTGCCTCACTGACCCTTCTATACTCGGCCTTTCATCTTTCTGATGCTGCTGTCAGAAAGATCTTTCTGCAACACCATTTTTCTCTGTTGTAGCAAGAAGCCCTGGTGTTGCATTGCCTCTGTGGCCACAACCTCCCAGGCATGCCCTCTTGTACCCTCCTGTAGACTGATCATGTGCAACTGTCTGTTCACCTCTGGGCCTGCTAACTATTTTCTTGTCCTAGCCATGAATTGCATATTTCATTACTTTCTCTATAAACCAGTATATACATGTTTTCATTTCTCTAAAAATTTCTCTCCAGCTTGTTTGGATCTCTGAGTTCTAGGCTTGTTCACCCCCATGCCTACAGCAAAGAGCAAGCATTTCTCTGCCCTCATCTCTGCTGGCCGAGGAGTCTTCCTCTCTGTAGTGTCCCATTGTGGCCAGGCTCTTCCTGGGCCCCTTCCTCCACTGCACCAGGAACAACTCACATCTCAGGTGTGGCCTACTGGGGCTTACAGAGTAGCTGGAGGAGGGCACCCTGTTTTTAGATTCATGTACTTGTGAAGGAGGGAAGGCACCAAGTCATCCATTCATTCAACAAATCCCCATAGAATGAAAAGTTTTGTGCCACGTGCTGCCAGGTCCTTGAGAAGACGTGCTGGAGAAAGAACAAAACAGACACGGTACCTGCCCTCTGAGTTCACCCTCCGCAGTGGGGGAGACAGGTGACAGTTATGAATTGTATGCCAAAAAAACCATATATACATACGTGTGTGTGTGTGTGTGTGTGTGTGTGTGTATGTATATGTATGTATGTGTGTATATGTTTATGCAGAAATGTGGAGCAAGAACTGTGGAGGAAGAGTACAAGGCAATACTCAAGTGTAGATCAGGCATGTGGCCTGAATGGAGTTCAGGGTGGAGAGGGCTGGGGGCTGAGAGTGGAGAAATGGTAGTGCCAGTTAGACCGAGGGGACCTCGGTATGGAAGGGCCAGAAGACTAACTGGTGCACATGCAGATCCAGAAAAGATAGAGTCCAGCTTCAGTGTCAGTCTTGATCCTGAGAGCACCGTTACTTATTTTGTGTTTTATCTTTTGCTGTTTTTCTCCTGTAGGTTAGGAAATCGAGTCAGGAAGTGCTCTTGATTCTTCTGGAACAAGACCTAATTTTCCAGCATGATATCGAAAACAAAGTGTGTCCTATTCTGCTGGAGCTGTCTGCCCCAGATAGTGAAGATGAATACAGAGCTGAAGCTGTGAGTGTAAGTCTGTACAGGGGTGATTGTCAGCACCTGTTGGGACTGTCCCATACTTTGGTTTCTGCAGGTCTTGAAGTTTCACAAACGTTCAATTTTGGCCAGCACTGTTCCCATAGACAAGATAGTCAGGGAAGTTCACCATGCAGCCCAGAGCCTGTTTTGGAAGTGTTCATCCTCAGAGCACATTGTTTTAAGAAGGCATGGCTTGAAAAATCACAGTGATAGGGGCAGCTGGTTTAGGCCTCTGCTGGGCAGGATGCTGGACTCCCTGGTAGATACCTGAACCTGCTTGCAGCCTGGGCTTTGCTTTTCATGGGAAGGAACTTTGTATGTTATGTGCAGCAGTGTTACATATTACGTTGACAACTAAAAAAATTAGTAGACCCACTTGTTTCTTTAAGCTATGTCCATAAACAAATAAGAGTCCCTGGCACATTATCGACAGTGGTTTGGAAAAGCTCTTAATGAGAATGTTTGTGCTCTTTCAGTTAAAAGTATGCAGCAAAAGGAGCAGTGCAGATAGTCAGTGTCCCCACTCTTCAGTCATTTGTGTGGTACCCTTGGGGTCTGTGGTTCCATGCCCATTATCGCGGATAGGTACAGTCAGGACTTCCTCTTTGCTCCTGTACCCCTTGTTTGGAAACAGTGGCTGATGAGCCCATGCTGGTTTTACCACCCTTGCCAGATGCTCTAGCCTGACTTTGTACCTTTTCTTCTGTGCTCCGAGGGTCATCACAGGCCATCTTATTTTCTTCAGCTGCCACTCCTCAATTGACCCGTGCGAAGGATGCTATATGCTTGACCCTTTTCTGTTTGCAATATAAAAGTTAGAGCTCCAGGACTACTCATCATCTGAGGACGTACCTGTACATAAAGGATTTAAAAAATCATAAGCCTTACTTTGGAGTACAGTAAAAGATAGGACATAGTTGTCTTCTTGTTTAGAAAAGAATGATGTTAGAGAAAGGAAGTATTTTCTTTTCCAAAGTGCAAAACCATTATACACCATGAAGCTGAAAAATTATATTGCAGTATCAGAACATTTGGCAATTATTCTTCATTTATGTAAAAGTTTTCTTCAGCTATGTGCTAAAGGTCTGGCTTTTTAAACTAATTTAATTTTTTGCATATTCCATATGTTTATAAGATGAATCAGGCTGAAGAATAATTGATTATTAAAATTCAAATTCTCTAGAGTTCTTTTATAAATTTTGAGTTTCTCTATAAGAAATTAAATTTATTTTGCAAAATGAACCTGGATAATAGCATTTAGCTGTGATATTTGGCAGCTGAGCAGTGAACTTTGCCCACTAGACCTCCTTTTTCATTTAGAAGTTGGTTAGGCGAGTTTCCAAGGCTACAACTGACAACCAAGTATCTTATCCCCAAAGACTGATAATACCATGAAAAGCAATGCTAATGGCATTTTTGCATGATTTTTATTTTGTTTGTTTCCAAACACTCCATTCCTGTCAACAATATCCTCTCTTCTTTCTTCTTTCTTTTCTGTTTTTTTTTTTTTTTTTTTTTATGGAAATCCTTAGAAAAATCTAACAAGCCTTCCACAAGTCATCTGCACAAGTCACTTGCGGAACAAGTTAGTTCATATAAATTGCTTTCTATCAGAGTGAGTTGTTGGCTCATGGCTACAGGTTCTGCTTCACGTGTGATGGAAGGTCCTCGTCCTGAGCTGCCCACCATAGTGCATATGCGGTGGGGACAATCAGAGACAGCAGCTGAGGAGTTCTTGTGCAGCTCACCTGCTGGGACAGGTGTGGGTCCTGGTTTCTCACACCCATGTGCATTTTCCTTGATGAGGTCTTTTCTGAGCACCCTAAGCAGCATTAGTGACTCTGCTTTCTGTAGTCAGAAGGTTGGCACATATTTGTCTTCTGTCACTTTGCAATTGAGTTGTAAAGCTCTGTTTGTTTACGTCCCCCTGAGATAGTGAGCTCTTTCACCACAGTCATGGCGTCTGTATCATCAGCACCCAGCACAGTGCCAGGCCCGGAGTCAGTGCTGAGTAAATGTTAGTTGTTAGATGAATGGGTTGGTAAAAACTGCAAGAGCTGAATCTTGTAATTATATCTAGACAGGATACACAGGCCACTGGAGACCAATTATAATTCCTCTTGCTTACAGGGAGGCCATTAGCATTCTGAGATTGTAACTAATTGTCAGAAGCCCATTTTTCTCTCTCAACACGTTTTCACATTAAGGCTTCCTCATTTTTTGTCGTCATTCCCATTTTAAGCTCATTTTTATTTGTGCATTTATTTAAAAAGAATGCTATGGTCGTGCTATAAAGAATAGTTGGCTCCAAGCAACTAAGTGAAGATTGTCACTCCCTATAAGCGGTTCCCAGGGCCACGGAATATCATTTTTTGTCTCTCCGTGTGCTGACTTTTAATGATTCTGGGTTTTATAGTGGGTAGTAATAAGGTCATGTGGGTGTGGCAGGTGGGGGAGGGGTGGACGGAGATGCTGGGAACTCTTTAGTCACCCGTTGCCCTGGATACAGAAACCTCACGTTCTCATTTATTGCAGTTGCCACTTTGTACAACTCTGCTAAGCATCAGATCGGAAAGATGTGTCTTCTGAGTTTGAAGACACAGCCTTTTCCTTATTTGTGTCAGTGGGCTGTTTTCTCCTTTCCCCCACCCCAATTAATTTTTTTTCTCCTCTTGTCTGCACATTCCAAATGCAGTGATGTGTGGATTACCTAAGATCATTTTCACTATAAAGCAGTAGTGCTGTGCACCTACTGACATGATGGGCTTCAGAGACAGGAAGTCCTCCACCCTTCCCTCCCTCCCTCCTTCCCTCCCTCCCTCCCTCCTTCCTTCTCTCCTTTTAATTTTTGAAGAGACAGTGGAAGAGTTCTTTTTTTAGATTTAGGGGGTATAACTTTTCTTTTTGTTTTAATTTCAAATTTACAGAAAAGTTGCAAGAATAGTAATTTGAACTCCTTATACCCTTTATCCAGATTCTCGAATACCTAATGTTCAGCTCTACTTTTTCTTATAATTCTTTCTGTCCTCTCCAAACGCACATACATTTCTGAGCCATTTGAGAATAAATTGGACACTTTGTTTCCCTTGACATCTTAGTACTTCAGAGTGTATATCCTAAAAATGAAGAAATTTTCTCGTACACAACCATTCACAGTTCATTTCGAAATGTTGTTGTTTGTCAAGGGTCCAGGCCAATCTGTGTTTGCATCAGTGTGTCACTCTCTTTGGTTTCCAGTCAAATGGAGCTGTTCCTGAGTTTTTGAATTTTTTAACACTAAGTCCAGGCTGGTTCTTTTGTAAAATGTCTTCCAATTTGGCTTTGTCTGGTGTTAATTTGATGATATAGTAGGTAAGAGACATACCTGCCATGTTTTCCAGTATGCAGGTCTCCCTCTGGAAGTGATAAGCATTACCTTGAGACTATGTGTGTGAACTCTTTCTCCTCAGACTCTCACCTGCTGGTATTTGTGACTGTGGATGATTGTAGCTGGCTTTGTACTGCGAAATAACCTTTCTCCACTGTTAGCTAGCAGCTGGTTGAAGACTTTCATGTCTGTATTCCAGAGGGTTGTTGAAGGCAGTTTTCTTTTCCTACTACATCTTTGTCAGGATTCAGAATCAGGGTTATCCTGGTCTCAAAAAATGAGGAGGGAAGTCTTCCCTCCTCTTGTTTTCTGAAAGATTTTGTTTAAAATTGGACTTATATTTTTCCCTGAAATATTTATTAGAATTCACCAGTAAAACCTCTGGCTCTGGAGTTTTCTTTGTGATTTGTTTTTTGATAACAAATTCAATCAGATTTCATTTTTCTTATTTCATCTGTGTCACTGGTTAAGTTGGATATTTTAGAAAATTTATTAATTTCACGTACCTTCTCAAATTTATTGGATTAGAGTTGTTTATAGTATTTCTTCATTATCCTTTGAAGGTCTGTAAGATCTGTATCCCCTTTCATTTATGATACTGGTAATTTGTGTTTTCTGGTTTTTTTTTTTTAATCAGTCTTGCTAGGTGTTTATCAGTTTTATTATGTTTTTAACCCAATTTTTGGCCTTACTGATTTTCTTTGTTGTTTGTTTTCTTTGTAATAGATTTCTACTGTTTTTTTTTTCTCTCTTCAACTTTCTCAAATTCAATTTGCTTTTATTTTTCTAGCTTCATAAAGAGGAAACAATAGTTTTAAGCCTACATTCTTTAACATTTTAAGTGTTTGAAGATGCATGCTTAATGTTTATGTGTTTGTGATTTATTGACCTTTTTATCATTAAGAAATGTTTTTGACAGTAATGTATATAATGCAGTGTGCTGTGGTGTTAATATAACCACTAGCACTTTTATGTTTACTGTTTATTATAATGTTTTTGTTTATATTCTTTTACTCTCAACCTATATATTTATATCCAAGTGTTTCTGCTTTTGTTAGCATATGGTTGGGTCTTGCTTTATATCTAGTTTGATAGTCTCTGTCTTTTAATTGGAATGTTTAGATCATTTTACTTAATGTGATCGTTGTATGTTTGAATTTATTTCTGCTTCTTTACTATTTGTTTTATGTTTTTCTCATCAGTTTCTTTTCCCTCTGTTCTTTCTTTCTTTTGGGCTAGTTGAATATAAGATTGCAGTTTTAAAAAAATATAGTAACTTTTTGGGGGGTATGGGGGACTAGGGATTGAACTCAAAGCCTCACACTTGCTAAGCAGATCTCTACCTTGAGCCTCAGCCCAGGTCCATGCAACAGGTACAGTTTTTTTCACTTGCTTTCATCCTTAGTGCTGTTGTTTTCACATATATTACATTATAAACCTGAAAGTACAGTTCTATAATTTTTTAAGAATTAGATCTTTTGAAGAAATTGGTATAAGAAAAATACGGCCTTTTTATACTCTCATTTTTGGTGATTGCCCTTTCTTTTCCTAGATCTGAGTTACCATCTGGTATCATTTCCCTTCAGCCTGAAGAACTTCCTTTCTTACTTTGTGTAGTTCAGGACAGCTGATGATGAAACCTCTCAGTTTTTGTTTATCTACCAATGCCTTTATTTTGCCTTCATTTCTGAGTGGTAGTTTTGCTGGGCATAGAATTGAGGGCATACAGGTTAGTTTTTTCCTTCTTATAGCATGTGAAAAACCATTCTGTTGTCTTCTGGGTCTCCTTTTTACTCATAGAAGTCAACTTTCATTCATTTCTGCTGTTCTATATGAGGTATCCTTTTTCTCTGGCTGCTCTTAAGATTATTCTCTATTATCTTTAGATTTTAGTGAGCTGTATTTATCCTACTTTGTGTTCATTGAATTTCTTGGATTTGTTTATTGATACCCTTTACACAATTTGGGAAGTTCTGGCTATTGTTTCTTCAAATATTTTTTCTTTGTCATTTTCTTTTTCTTCTTTCAGTCTAGGACTTAATGATATCAAGTTTTGATTCTTAATATTCTCCATCAAGTCTTTGAGGCTGTGTTTTTCTTCAGTCATTTTTCTCTCTGTTGTTCAGATTTGATCATTTTTATTCATCTGAAGTTCAGTGACTCGTTTTGTAACAGTTTCTTCAAAGCCTTTTTCCAGATCATCTTGGTGTTGATTTCCATTGTAACTTGTATTATGGGTCACTTTGTCCTGTGAACACATGAATAGTGGTTTTTCTTTTTTTTGTAGTAGTAGTGTTAGGGTTTGAATTCAGGGCTTCATGCTTGCCAGGCAGTTACTCTTACCACTTGAACTTATTACCACCAGCCTTATTTTTTGTGTTGGGTGTTTTTGAGATAGGGTCTCACAAACTATTTGCCTAGGCTGGCTTCAAGCCACAATCCTTCTGATCTCTGCCTCCCAAGTAGCTGGGATTATAGCATGAACCACCGGTGCCTGGGCTGAGTAGTGATGTTTGACTGAACGCTGCAGGGGGTCTGAATTCTGTTGTGTCTCTCTAATGTGGTTTTTCTTTTTGTCCTAGTAGGTAGTTACTTTGGCTGAGTTCCCATTTCCATCTGATCACCATTGTGGTGAGCAGTAGCTAAAATCTCTGCTCAGTTTGTTTACTTTCTGGCTGCTGGGTCCTCTGGAATCTCCCACACACATACGTAGTTTAGCAGTCAGTTTAAGATTTGAACAGACTTTATATATAGATTTTAGACCTTGATCACAAATGTCTCCTATTATAGTTCATCATTTGAATTGTAGCCTCCCTTCCAGTCTCTACCTTTTGGTTGTTCTTCACTGCTTTCAAATGGCTGTTTTTATGTTTATAAAATTTCATACAATTCTATAATTATTATCCATAGAAAGTTTAGTCCAACTAAGTTTGTATTAGTCAGCTTTCTTGTAACTATGACAGAGTACCTGGCATAAATAACCTAAATGGAGAAAAGGTTTATTTTGTTATTTTTAGTTTCAGCGGTTTCAGTCCATCTTGGTGGGGAGAGTATGATGGAGCAGCTCACATCTAAGTGACCAGGAAGCAAAGCAGAGCAGTAACAGCAGTAACAGGAAAGGACCAGGAGATACTGCTTCCATGAGACCCCTTTCCCCAGAAAGTCTACCTCCTCCAAACAGGCCCTGCCTTCCATGGTTCCACCAGCTCCCAACAGTCTATTCCTGTTTCAGATCCATCAGTGGATTAAACTGTCCGTTAGGTCAGAACCCTCATGATGTAATCCTTCATGAATGCATCCTCACAGACACGCAGAGGTCCTCTTGACTGATCTCGTAGACATTTCTTAATCTCGTCAAGTTGATAATCAAGATGAACCATCCCAAAGTACTGTTATTGCTGGATTCTTTCTCATAGTTCCCATTTCTCTGATAAGATTCCTAAACTGTTCATTCAGTGTTGCTGCCTTTCCCTTGTAGTACTCAGTTGTATTTATAATAGCTGCTTTAAGTTCTTAAAATCTGCAGATTCTGGTATTTGGGGTTGTTAGGGGTTCGTTTCTACTTACTGATTTTTCTTCAGAATGTGGGTCACATTTTCCTAGTTCTTCTAGGATGCTTATTGGTCTTGTTTTTAGTAGCGCTAGTGTCATGCTTAATTTTTTGTTTTGTTTTGTTTTCTGTTGTATCTTGTTAACATTATAGAAACTCTGGATTCTCTTAATTTCCTCTTTAGAGTGTTAACCTTGTTCTAGGAAGCAGCTCCCTTTTTGTTTCCTCTGCAATAGGTAGCGGCTATAAGTGCTCAGTTCTTTCAGCACAAAGTTACAAACCTCACTGTCTCCCCTAGGCGTGCATAGCTCAGGGGTCAGCCAATGATTAGGGCAGGATGTAGTCACAGATGTTGAGGCTTCCTTCAACTCTCCTCTTCCTTCCTTCCCAGGATCTCTGTGCTTACTTTCCAGCTGCCCTGGCATGCTCAATCTCTGTTTTCTGATAGCTTTTGCATGAGATCTAGTGACCCTGCATCATCATGCAGACTAGGAAGTGCTCTCACACACAGAGCAGCCGAAGTACAAACTTTATCCAGCGTGGTTTTCTTCTTTCCATGATCTCCTCTTTCAGCTTCTCTGCTGTTTCATCATACCCCAGTGTCTGCATGCCATTTTGTAATGTTGTGTCTTGCTGTGACTGTATGTCCCACCTCCTCTGGATAGATGGAGACAAGTAACACCCATGCCAGGGTCCTTGGGAAGGAATGGTGGGCCGGTGTTCTGTTCACATATTGGCCACACAGTGGTTACCTTGCAAATGGCAGACTATCCCTAGCTGAGCAAAACCAGAGTGATAGTTGGCCTTGTATCAATGGTGTAATGACACAACTCAAAAGATATTCTTTTCATTTCCTTCTTAGGTATTTTGGCAATATTTTGAGTATTTACTTTTAGAGTGTGTCTTTTCTCTTTGGTAGTAGAGTAGATTGGAATATATCTTGTTAGCAATACATACTTTAGCACATGAGGTGACTTGAATTTTCTTGGCATTCACAGGTAATCTGTAAAATGGCTTCAATGCTGAGCAAGAGCACAGTTGAACGCCTGCTACTCCCTCGGTTCTGTGAGCTGTGTTGTGATGGGAAGCTTGTACAAATTCGGAAGGTGGGAACGTAAACATTTCAGAAATCTCAAGTTAAAAATTCAGAATCTCTTCCTCTAAAGTTCCTATCTGCTTCTTCAGTAGAAAGTCTGTGAAAATGTGGCCAGTATGAAGTGTGTGAGGGAAATGACTGAACAGTGTTCCCAGTTTCACTACAGTCAAGAACTACACAGAGACTTGGGGACTAGGGGGTGTGAGGAGCCCGGGGCACAGAGTGAGGGTGGACCACAGGCTGCCATTAGCACACTCATGAGGCCTGAGTGTGATTTGTTCAGAGCCCTCTTAGCTCAGACTCCTCCTTTTGGAGGCTGTGTCACCCTCCCTAAACAGCTTCAGCCTCCACCTTGCTGCCTTCTGGCCCAGCTCCTCTGGCCTGGTGAGGCACAGGCAGGATGAGGGGTCTTGCTGGCCATGCAGAGATTGTTAAGGATCTCTTTTGGCCTTATTGCTAACTAAATGCATATGTATCAAGATCAGTTAGGAGCCAGAAAATCCTAGAGGTTGGCACCTTCTTGTAGACCTGTTTTTTTCCATGCAGCAGAGGCGCCTTGCATTGTGCTGCATAGGCGATGGGCTTGGTAAGGGGTTGTTAGCTGCCTGACTAGAGGGAGAATGGCTCTCAAGGTTCCTGCTTGTTAGTTTTTACATTTTGTTAACACAAAAAGAAAGATAAGAATAATGGGTATGCCTCTTACCTTTTTTAAGGTGTGCGCTACAAGTTTTGGTGATATTTGTCATGCTGTTGGACAAGAAGCCACTGAGAAATTTTTGGTATGTGAAGCTTTGCTTCTTAGTGCACTTTCCAAGTCACTTGCAAAGTTTTTTATCTGTGAGTTTCTTATTTCTGAATGGCAGCTCAGTTTTGCATTCGTCAATGTCAAATCTCTTGACTTCTGAAGTTACTGTTTTTCCTAAGTGCAAGGCCGCTGGTCTGGTGAATTAGTACCTGGCCTCTTTCCTGTGGACTGTGCTGTTGCCTGCTCATAGGTCCTGATCCCCTTGTTCTTCTTACTGTCTATGTCACTCTCTGTCCGGTCTCCGTTGTTCTTTCTAGAACACTACCACCTTGCCCTTGAGTCTCAAAACCATTGGGATTTTTTTCTTGGTTTGTAGGTTAAAGTGCAGAGTCTCACTGGCCTTTTGAGTGGCTTTGTAAGTCTTTTCTGCCTTACCTCCACTTGTCTTTCTCAGTTCTGCACACTGCCCAGGCCAAGGTGGGTTTCATCTCTTATCTTGGGGAGATTGGTAGATAGGGTAGAGCCGAGGTGCCTGTGTGTTTGACAGATTCCTACATGACTGCTGCACAGCAAGATAGAGAATCATTTTGCCAGCCAGCTTCATGACTTTCCACCCAAAGCCCACTTGCCTTTTCACCCTGAGCCTCTGCTCATTACCACCTTGTGGGACTGCCCATCCAGTTCAAACCCAGCTTCAGTATGCTCTCTGGTGTTCTTTCATTGTCTGGACATACCTGCCATCCATACCAGAGAAGATTCACTTCTCCCCTTTCAGCCCCCTGTAACCATAAGGTACTCCCCCAGAGTACTTTATGGGAGTTTCATGGATGGGGATGTTGAGGGCAGGAACCTTATCATGTTTATCTTTGTTTCCCTGGTGCCCACCCTGGCCCTGTCACCTGGACAATGGCCAGATGCTAGGAAAGCATTTGTCGCTTTTGTTTGACAGAATGCACTATCTGTGCAGCTGGAATTTAACCTCAAAAATTGTAATCTTTAAATTGACTTTTAAATTTAAGCTCAGAAGCTCATTTTGTTTTATTTAAAATATAAGCCAAGAATAATCTTTAATGGGCTGCTGCGTTGAAAATACAGCAAATGTTACCTTGAACTTAGTGCATGCAAATGAAGAACAGAAGTGTCCAACAGGCTAACCTAACTGTAGGTGAGATCATGGCCATAGTTTATCCCCATCTGTTAGTTTACATTAGGATAGTAAAATCAAAGCCTTTTTAAAGGATACATTTTAAAAGAAGATGTAATCATCACCTTTATGTAGACATAAATGAGTATGTGTCAAAGCTTACATTTAACACTTTTGTTAATAAGGGAAACTAGTCACATATTACAGCTAGCTTAATGGAGAACGTAGAGTAGCACACATTTACAATCTGACCCAGGAATGCGGAAGTGAAATTACAGAGGAATTCAAAACTGGTCAATAGTCAAAGTGGTGACTGATTGCTTTCTGCAGGACACGGTTTGCATTTCTGTGGGCAGGAATCATTTGCATTTCTGTCAGTTTTTAACAACCTCCTCACAGAGTTGTACAGTGTTCTGGGTAAGGACAGTAATACCCGTCTGGTGAGCTAGTTAGGAGATCTACTAAGTTTGTATCTCTTACAGTCTTTCTTTCTCTATGTTTCATGTAGGGAATATCATTCTGCTTTTTTGGAGTTTCCTCTATCTCCTTGTTAAATTTAATTGAGTTACTTAAAGTTAGGAGGTGAAGGGAATGTTACTTATGCTTGGTTTCAGATGCCTCCATTTAACAGTGCATACTTCCTTTTCTCTGCTGCTTTCTGGCTTTGCCTTCACTAGGGCATTAAGACAGGTTCTGTCTGTCCTCCAGGAAATCAGATTTGAGTAGCTCTATTTTTTGTTTGCTTTGGTAGATACCAAAATTTTTTGAGCTCTGCTCGGACAGTGTGTGGGGGATGCGGAAAGCCTGTGCGGAGTGCTTCATGGCTGTGTCCTACAACACCTCTCCTGAGGTCCGCAGGACCCAGCTCTCGCCTCTCTTCATTGGGCTCGCCAGTGACCCCTGCCGATGGGTGAGTGCCAATGGCTTTGCGGAGTGTCCAGCTCCACAAAGTGTCCAGCTGCTGGGCCTCATTTTGGCTTTAGGCTTGTGCTCTGTATTTTGTCTTGTCAGGCACTGATGGGTATAATCAGACTTAAACTTTGTAAGGTCAAAATTAAGGCAACTAAAATCGCAGAAACTTTGGGGTAAATATTAAGAAAGTGAGGCACACCTCATTACTTGCAGTGAATGAATGTCATAGAAGTCAGAATTGAGAAGAATAACTATAATTGAGCTGTTACCTTCTCTGTTACTATCATAAATATGCTTGTAAGGATTCGTTAGTTCTGTTTACATCATTTATGAACTCTGGAATTGTTTGCTATGGAATTAACATTCTAGAAGAATAAAACTCTATCGTGGAATTAAATTTTTCTTCTTTTCTTTTGAAAAATAGTTTATTTGGGATGTAGGGGATGGTCTGAAAAGTAGTGAACTTGAGTAGTCATGACTTGGTGGGCAGTGGTGATCAGCTATCTGTTTTAGCCTAAGGTCAGACCTGGCCTCCGCCAGGGTGATGCTGTGGTCACTCACTATTCTCTGGTTCCAGGTACGCCAAGCTGCCTTCCAGTCCCTTGGCCCCTTTATCTCCACCTTTGCAAACCCCTCCAGGGCTGGCCTGTACATTCAAGAGGATGGCACCCCGAACATCCGCCCACCAAGCCAGGATGTGGAGGCTGGTTCTGCCTCTGGCTCAGCCAAGCTTGGCAGTTGTGGTAGTACCTCTTCAACCAGGTATGCTGTGGCAGGATCGTTGCCAGGACCCACGTTTCACCTAGAAGTCTAGCAATTATCTTGTCTCGAGTTTTAGTAAGAGTGACCTTCTGGGCAAGATGGAATATTAGAGCTTTAATTACGTAAAGAAGCAAAAAGTAATTGCAATAATGATTTTGAAACATGACTACTGGGTTATAAATAATGAAGCTACCATGTCTCCTAAATTTAGATAAAATATTCATTAAGAGTAATGATTAAATAACCTATAAAGAAAATTTTCTCGTTCTTTTTGATTAATGAAGGAAGTTCTTTGGATAATTTACATACGGAAAAACGTGAAGTCCCCCAAATACACCTTTGTAACATAGGATGTTGTGTGCACTTGAAGGTGGTTTTCCTGACCACCATTTGTAGGACCTACGATGCTTTTCTAGTGTGGTGGTTGGTCTTGGGTCTTCCATACTTTTCCTCTAAGGATAATAGATTTGCACTACACAGTCACTTTGAGGTAGTTTATACGTGCCTCTATTTTAGTATTACATAGCAGGAGTGTGAGAGTGGACAAGTCACACCTTAGATAATACAGATACTCTTAAGATTGGTCCGTCCTTCTCTCCATCTACTCTCCATCGGGATCCATTGAGCTCCTGCCAAATGTAAGGCCCAGGTGCCACAGCTTCCTCATCAAGACTTTCCAAGTGGCCACACAGAGCCAGCTCTTCCAGTGTCCTGGCCTGTCATTTCCTGATGCCTGCCCCCTGGTGGAGGTTCTGCTGAGGAGACGGGATGAGGCTTGACCACTGGAGATGTCTGCGTGGTAGCCAGGGCTCATTCAACACTGGAATGGGGGAAGCATTGGCTCAGCTGTCACAGGGCATCTTTAATGCACATCATACTCCTAGTGAGGCAAAGGGTGCTGATTGGATTTCTTCTCCATTGTCTCCTTGGGAGACACAAGGAGGTGGGTGTTGGGCTAGAAGAAGAGGACTGGGTATATGAGGATATAGGTCTCAGCTTTTTCCATCTACTTCCAGTTTGTCACATGGCACTAAAATTTGCTTCCCTCCATTTAACCTAGTTCAACAAAGCCTATGCAGATGGAGGCAGATCTACTTGTGGAGGAGATCTCAGCTGAAAACAGTAATTCCCTTCATGTCAGTAGCTCCTCCAGTGGCCCTGCAGAAAACCCAATGGAAGACCCTGCTTCAGGTGGAGCTGAGTTGACCAGGCTTTCCCCAGGGGGCAGTGCCTCCTTGAAGCTCCGTGGTGGTAATGAGCAACCACTCAGCAGCCGCCATGGACCAGATCCCCAGGCCTGCCCAGGGAACTTAGAGGATATGTTCAGTAATGTCCTATATTGGCGAACTCCTCTGCCTGACATAAGCAAGGACATGGAACTGCTTCTGAGTGAGGCTGGGCCTCGGGAAGAGGACTGTGGCTGCCCTGAAACTACGTACCACAGCTGTGTGGCCAGCAGTGAGATCCAGAGGGTCCTGGATAGTTTGCAGGAGCATATGATGAATGATCCCAATGTACAAGGTAAATGTGACCCTTGTCATTAAGGAGAAGATAGGTATTTCTGAGTTGTGTGTTACACGTCACTACCTCCTTCTTCCTCAGGCCTGTGCACTGATTGTGCATGTCTGTATTTGCTTACACTGTGTGCATATGGAGAGGAGAGACTGGTTGGGTCTGACCACAGCCAAGATAAGTTGTGGTGTCTCCAGACGGGACCTGTGCAAGGACCGTGCCTCCTTGTTACGCACACAGCCTGAAGTCAGTCCTGATAGAACAGGAGCCGTGCTTGGGCACATTCATAGCAGTGGATGGCTTATTAGCCCGGGACACAGATGTAGTTTCCCACCTCTAATGCCCTTTCTGTCATGAGCAGCTAAGGCTGGAGCTCCTTTTGGAGCCTATTAACTCAGCCCTTAGCTGAACTCTAAGGTTTCAGTCTATGACAGCCAGGAAAAGTGCAACTTCTTCAGGTGGTTTTCATTTCATGACTAGTGCTCCCACTGAGTGGTCTGGGAGCCAGGCCCTTGTAATCCATGTCCACTGTCACAGCTCTTCTTCCTCTCACCAGTGCTGTATCTGTATTCTTCCTTGACGTAGAGAAGCGGGAAAAACACTTGCTGCTGTTGCTGGGCAAAGATTTGTGAAGCTTTCGGGAAGGGTAATGTGAAGATCCAGTTAGCCCTGTGATTATTCATTGTCCTTAAGTTTATGAGTGAAATGAAATCAGTGTTCACCAAAGGAATGAGTACATGTAACCTATCACTTCTAATAGCTGCAGACAAAGGTCTGTTTTGGAAAATGCATTACTGGAGCTGCCCTTATTCCCAGTGTGAGTACCCGAGCCGGGAACCGAGCAGCAGTGACGGGCGCTCAAGGCCCTTAGAGTGGCCGAGGGGCTGTGTCAGTGAAGGGTGTGGTGAAGGCTGGCAGAGGAGGGTACTAACATTCTATAGAAGTAAGACTGGGCCAGGAAGCTGGCTGGGCCTTGGGACAGGAAATGTTGGGAGAGAAGAGACCTCACAGAGCAAAGCAGGTGGTTGTGGCCTGGCCTTCTAGGACAGCTGGAGCCCACCCTCTAGGGGGTCCAGAAATGGCTTTGAGGGTTCTGTTAGCTCCCTGGAGTTACTGTTCTGTGTTGTCTTTCCCACATATGCATACTCAGTGTCTTTGTAAGAGTGAGTTCACAGCTTTCCTCATATCTCAGGGATCTGTAACCCCAAAAGATTGAGAAACAAGCATGTCTTCTTTGTGAATTGGCCTTGGCAGGAATACCCACTGGGCTATCGGAGGGACCTGGTATGCTGCAGTAGAAGGTGGGACTTGTCCTGGGCACAGTGCAGGGCCAGCTACAGGTTGTTAATGACTCTTGAGGTTTGTTGAGTTTAACTTGTAAAAAAAACAGAATGCAGGGAGTAATGTGTATGTTTTGGAGGTTGGAGACATGGAAATGTGCAGTTTTCTGAAAGGAATGTGAACTATGTCATTTTTAGTTAGGAGGTCTCAAATAGTTATACTGGCGACCCAAGGTCGAGCAGTCTTGTGGGCTCAGCAAGTAAGAGCCTTATCCACCTACGCATAAATTGACTTACTCAGGTATGGATGTGCGTGTGGATGTGTGAGCACAAATTGTGCTTGTGCCTGTGTGGGGTGTGTAGAGAAGGTAGTCATTCTGTTTTAAAAGTGGGGAGCAGGATGACCCTTGCCGAGGTGGGGAATCTCCTGGACCTTGCTGTTCAATAACATCATGGCGTCTTTCTATGAAAGACACGGGAGTCAGATTCTGATCTCTCCTGATGGAGGCTTTTTGAGATCAGAAGTGATGTTTGGAACATGGCTGGTGCTTAGTTGATATGGTTACTGCTAATGGCCCCTGCATCACACTTTGCTGAGAACTCATCCTAAGACTGCATAGTCTTCAACTCAGGAACAGGTGCGTGTATCTGAGCAGGGCCCTGTCCCAGGGCGCAGTGCGCCTCTTTGGAGTGAGCCACCATGAGCCACACAAAGTTATTAAAATTCTTGAACCTCTTCTTCCTGCAGCTCAAGTTCAGGTACTATCAGCTGCACTGAGAGCAGCACAGCTTGACTCCATGTATGAACCCGAGAGCAAGCCGGCAGAAGAGCTAAGCGAAGTGTCCATCTCACATCCCAGCCCTGCCCCTGACAAGCACATCCCTCTGCTGGCTTCATCATCTCAGAATGAGCTCTCTGTGGCCAGGATATTACAGAGCACAGTGAGTATGTGCCCTATCCCTCTGCTACTGAGGATGTGACAGAAATCACAAGGCTGCGTTTTCTTTTATTAATACATCCCTGCAGAGAAGATAAATGGCAAATTTCATTTCATTCTTAAGGTCATGTTTTGGATAACTAGACAACCAGTCAATCAGGTGATTGATAACACTGATTTCTCCTCCACAGAAACAGGGTGGGGACCAGAAAGCACCTTCCCTCTTCGAAGATGACAAGAACTGGTTCTTTCAGGGGGGAGGGGGGGAGATTAATGATATAAATGTTCTCTGCCACTGCTAACAGTCGTTTACATCTTTTAATAATAGTAGAGGGTGAATTCCTAGAAGTTAAAGTTGACGGGGGCCTTAGAGAATGATCATTGCATCCAGCCCCCCTCATTTTACAGGAGCTCTTCAGTACACAGTGGTTTCAGTACCAGTCCTGGCATGCCACTTGCCAGAGACTAGATTTTAAAAACCCAGCAATGCCGCCTTTTTATTCTGTGGTCAGAGCCTGGGCCCCAAAGTTGGGTGGGAAGCCTGGGACTCTGTCCTCCCTGAATCTCTCCAGAAGTTTTCTAACCCTCTTGTTGCTGGAGACTCTTGTGTCCCCCCCAATTCCTGCTAAGCTCGCACTTGAACCACTTTAAGCTGGGGTCTCCCACAGGTAGGGGTAACAGTAGAGAATTAGAACTCAGGGGGGGCCTGTGATTGAGTTAGAGCCTTCTCATTACCGTAGGCCATGATGGACAGGCTCTTCAAAATCACTGTCTTCAGGGCCAGGGTACAAATTCTTTCTTTGTCCACACAGTTTATGATTTGGTTTTAGTGATTAACTTACTACCTCCTTTGCACCATAGTCCTGCCCCAGTACAGCAAAATAAAACAAAAGTTGCAAAAACTTGAATGTAAAATGTTTCAGAGTTGTTTAAGGTTATCTTTGAGTCCTAAGAAATTAGATGATATCTTGTTTTGCTTGTTGTTTCTAAAAATTTGGCAAGAAAACTCATGTTGTTGCCTTTGTTACCTGACTGCAGAAGTCATGTATGTGAAGTAAAACGATGTGACCTGTTAATCTTGTTGAGGTGTGATAGTATTTAGGTTTCTTTATCAGAGACAGAAGTGCAAAAAGAAAAAGAGCAGACTCCTCCAATGTAGGTCTCTTGAGTTAGATTTGAAAGACTTTGTGCCATGGAACTTTGTTTCATGGTTTGAGGTGTCAGAGCTTGTGGATTTGCAGCTTGGCCTCAAGGTTCTCATAGGGTCAGCCAGGGGCCTCCAATTGCAAAAGAACTCAAAAGGCTTGGGCACTGAGGAGACAGATCCTCTGAGCAAGATGGTAGGAAGCAGCGTTGTGTTGTGGCTGGGGGCTCTCCACCTCCATGCTGCTGGCTTTGCCCCACCCCCACTCCCCTGCCCTGCCTGCTCCACCTGCTCCACCTCCATGTGCTTGTGTCAGTATGAGGTGCTCAGTGGAAGGAGGGACTGACTCTCCCACTTGTCTTTTTTAAAGAGCAAGAACACCCTATGCCAGAGAAGCTTTTTGGAATATTTGGATTCTGCTAGTTGGGGCTGCAGGACAGTGGGCAGCAGATGCCCAGGTAGCCATCCAGCATACTGTCCCACTGGGCTGGGGGTGGAATGGAGAAATGAACTCAGTTCTTGCAGGGTTGACTTGGTCCCTGAAGTAAGTGCTATGCATGACAATTGCAACTGAAGACTTGAAAGCAAATAAATTCAACACACATCTATCTTATTAGTACATGTGAATTTATTAACTTGGAGAAATTGAGGTCATCCTCAGAGAAGGTTATCCTAAGAGAAGTCTTAAGGTATCTTACCAAAGTCCTTGTGTTTTATCACATATTCTGTTAAAGGAAACAGGGCATATCAGGGAAAACCTTGGAACTGAAGGTTCTGGTAGCACCCTCGGAACAAACGCAGCATCTACTGGTGTATTAATCGACTTTCCTGGCTCATATATTGAACTGATTTGTCAGAATCCATTAAGCTGGTAGACAGTATGACATTTCAAGTACAAGTTGGAAATCCATGTTATGGTTGAAGGAGAAGGTCAGGTCCATCTCAGTTAATGTTAATCAATAATCAGAGACCAATATGTCTCTGGTGAATGTTCTTGCTCATTTTAATTGTTAACCTAATGGGAAGGTTCATCATCAAACATTAGGAGTGTTTGTGCATGTGAAAATCAAGAGCAATTTCCCGAGTAAGCACTCCTTTATTCACCCCCGGCCCTCCCACCCCCAGCTTCTGAGGCCACTGTCCTGCAGTCTGTGATTTCTCAGAAAAATTGAAGATCCTTGCTGTACCATTTCTTGCAAACCCTACCTCTCCTTCCCTGATTGTCCATGCCCTAAACCTGAGACTGAACATGAGGGCATTGGTCAGCCACACTGGGAGATTTGGGGTTTAAAGACTGAGAGGCGCAGACCCACGTGATTGTTCCTTACCAAGATTTTATAAAGAATGCAGCAGTTTGAAATTCAAATGCATGAAATGTGTTTTCGCTAGCACCTAAAACAACTGGTCTGTGTGTTATCACATGAACTGCAAATGTAGTCTTTAAAACCAGAGAGACACCATGGACTCCAAAGAAGGTTCTTGCCTTGGCTTATGGAAGTCATTGCTGACATGAAAGCAGATTCCTTGAAGGGGAGGACAGCTTCTTCCTTTGACATAATTTGGTAATGTGTCCAATAAACTCTGTAGGATCCAGGCAACCCCTATAATGGAACCACTGGCCATTTGGAGACTGAGCAGAGGCATGAACCCACCACACTTCAAGAGGATAAATCTAAACTACAGGTTTGTTCCTTAAAAAGAAAGCAACTCAAACCTTTATACTTTCTGAAAGTTAAATTAAAGGATGCCTGGTGAAACCAAATATGTTCCTTTTATCAATATTGATTACCTATCTAGTTCACAGGCCATGTTGCTAGTATTTATTCTCTAACTTAAAATAGTAAGTTTAAAGTATTGCTTAAAGTCTTTTTTTTTTTTTTTTTTTTGCTGTACTGGGAATTGAACTCAGGGTCTTGTGCTTACTAGGCAAGTGCTCTACCACTTGAGCCATGTCCCCCGACATGGCTCCCCCCAGTCCTTTTGCTTTTTGTTTGTTTTCTGCCAAGATCTTGTGCTTTTATCTAAGTCAGCTTAAGAGCATGATCCTCCTCTCTCTGCCTCCTGAGAATTTGAATTGCAGGCATGTACCACCATGCCTGGCTTGTTTTTGAGATAGGGTCTTGGTAATTATCCAGGCTGGTCTTGAACTGCAATCCTCCTATCTCTGCCACCTGAGTGGTTAGAATTACAGGTGTGTTCCACCACATCAGACGCTTAGAATTATAATTTAATGAAGCTAACCAATGTAAGGAAAAAATTTTGACATGTAACATTAATGTTTAGTGTCTGTTTATACGAACTACTTTGCTTTTTCTTTTCCGTCCAAAAGTCAGTAGCTTCTTTTGTTAAACCATGTTTGATTTTGTTTTATCTTATGTATTAGCCTCTTGTGCCATGTATGTTCCCTTAAGTGTTTCAAGTTATTGTGATGCTTTGTGTTTACAGAGATAAATCTGCATGGGTTGGTGTCTTGTGACAGAGCCTCCCATGAGTTGGAAAAATATAGTAGTGATTCCAAGTCTTGGGCCCTAGATTTTTGGGCATTAGTGAAAAGAGAGGAAGGCTCTACTCTCAGGAGCTACACCGCCTTCCCGTGCAGTCCTTGCTGTCTGGATTGCTCTCTGTGGTCCAGATGCACTAAACTGGGAAAGGATGACTTGGGGGCACTGCTTTAAAATTGAACCCCACGCCCCCCACCCTTTGGTTTTAGCAAGGCCTGTTGTTCTTCCATATTTTTGCTTTGCTTCTTTCACCTGTCAATTCCAGATGCCTTGTTTTCCATGCTTGTTTTGCTGTCTTTGGCCATCATCCCTGCAAACATGGTGGCTTCTTCCTTTCTCCTGTTTCCCAGGATATAATCCCTCAGCCTCTACTAGACCAGTTCGTGTCAATGACTGACCCAGCTCGAGCCCAGACTGTGGACACTGACATAGCCAAGCACTGTGCCTATAGCCTCCCAGGGGTGGCACTGACCCTGGGCAGGCAGAATTGGCACTGCCTGAAAGACACGTATGAAACACTGGCTTCCGACGTACAGGTAAAAGAAGGCTTTTCAGTGGCACATGCAAATGGAGGTGGGGGACATCTGATCAGGAGGCACAGGGAAGCTGTGGCAAGGCTGGTTGACCTGAGTTCATGTGCATGTGAGCTGGCATATTTACTGGTCTCTGATGAACTAAAGCTTTCAGTGACCAACACCTGGCATCATTCCTTTTGCTCCACAAATTCTCCTAGGACATTAGGAACACTGAGTTGCACTTGCTTGTTGTGATTCCTGTGTGTGCTTACATCCTAGTGGAAGGTCCGTAGGACCCTTGCCTTCTCCATTCATGAGCTGGCTGTGATTCTTGGGGATCAGTTGACGGCAGCTGACTTGGTACCTGTCTTCAATGGGTTTTTAAAGGATTTGGATGAAGTACGCATAGGAGTTCTAAAGCATCTGTATGATTTTCTAAAGGTAGGAAGAAGGGCTAAAAACAAGCCACCTTCCTTCTCCAGTCCATATGTTAGGCCCACAACAGGTTAGTGTGATGCCAGTGAGGAGCAGCAAGGCTGTTGTCATGGATTATTTAGTTAAAATGCATGGTCCAGAATCTCAAACTGGGTGTTGTTTCATTAATGGGAAATACTTGTTTATCTTTTCTGCTACTCCTTCTGCCCTGTAGAACTTGTGATTCTTTGGGGGTGGTAGACAGATAGTCTCATGCGCTGTGCAGAGAAAGAAACTGAGGCCCCCAGGGAGTGACCTGACTTGCCCAGGAGTTATCCAGGGAAAAGTGTCTGGGCCGAAATCCAAACCTCAGGTCCACATGAAGGACTTTTTCTGCAAGACATTGCTCCTTCCTTTCTTGCATTTTTTTTTCCCCCTTAAAGGAAAGATGAGTATAAAAACAAGAGTTTAGGAATAACCTAGAGAAACTAATTACTTGTTCCTACATAACCCAGAGTTGCCCTTGAGGGACTCTGGTGCATGGTGTGCCATGCAGGCTCCCTTCTGGTGCAGTAGAGCAGGCTCAGCCTGGGAGGCAGAGCAGCATTATCATCTGAACACGCAGATATGGTTCTTTAGGTGGGGAATTACACCAGGAGGTCCCTGGGGCGTTTAGGAGATACAAGTACCACATACCCCCGGGGGCGGGGGGGTGGGGGAGCTGGAGACATTTGATTTCTGCAGCAGCATTAACATTCAACCACTCTGGGCCACAGACTGTAGTGTGAGGGAAGGGAAGTGCCCAGCCCTAGTGGTGACAAACAGATAACCTGAAGCACAATGACAGGGCACCTGGGGTCACTGTGAGAGATTGTGTGCTTACATACACATTTTTTAAAATAGCTACTCCATGAAGACAAGAGGAGAGAATATCTTTATCAGCTTCAAGAATTTATAGTGACTGATAACAGCAGGAATTGGAGGTTTCGATATGAGCTAGCAGAGTAAGTAAAAACAAACAAACCTATCTGGGGCTATTAGAAGGCAAACCAGAAGGAATAATTCTTAATTTTTCTTTCTGATAATTGATTTCCAAACCAGCAGCAATAGTGTTCTTTTGGCTAAAGAGATGATTTTTTTTTATTAAGGTATAAACTGAATTCCAAAGCTCTAAGTCACAAATGCCATGGTCTCTGGGGAGACCTTCGTTTCCACACGAAGACAGGGCTAGTCACTCCGGAACTGGAGTGTTCTGCTGTCTGTAAGGCAATTTATTTGAACCAAATCAAAGATGAATCACCCACTCTTCAATATTTTCCTGTTAATCGGAGTGGCTTTGCAAAGCTTTCTTGAACATTCTAAGTGCAGTCCTCTCTGTAGGGTACATTGTGCCTTATGTACTTCAGCTTCTAAAGAAGATTGGGCAGCAGTGAGAGATCTAAAAAAGCCTCCCTAGATGAGACAATTGTTAGTAAAAATGTCCCCTAAGGTGGCTCATATCTGTACACCACTGGTGTGTGAAGGAGTCATTCCATTCCACCTAGTGCAGGCAAAAACAAGAAGAATGCTGGAGGTTTTAACGCTGGGGAGAGAGGAGTGATTTTAGGTGACCCTTTCCCTGGACATACAGGGCGTTTTTCATGACGAGCAGGGGGTTTGCTTGTGTGGTGGGTGGTTGGGTTTGTTGAGATTCATTTTGGTCTCTTTATTTTTCATTTTTCTTACCCACAACTAGAAATCTCTCAAGTAATTGTCTTCCCCAAAGAAAGTCATCAGGCTTTTGCAGCTATTCAGGATATGACTTGGCTGGTGCCAGGGGCAAACTGGAAGATTTTCTCTTTGCTCTGAGCTTTAATCATTATGCTTAATTTGAGAGATTGAGGTTTAGTCATTATGCCGTGTTCCCGGCGTACGATTCCAAAAGAACTGAGAATAACAGGCCCATGTTTTCCATGACAGCCTTGCGACCTCTAGCGGCCGCGCGGGAAGTCGGTGCGAGCCTCCCGGGTGCTCGGCCCGGCTCGGCCCGGCTCGGCCGCTCGCCTCGGCTCTGTGGCTCCGGCTGTGCGGGGCCCGGCCGACGGCGGCTCCCTGGGATCTTATCTCCTGGCCGGTGGGCGCGCCTATCTCCCATCTCGCCCGTGCTTATTGAAGCAGGAGCTGCTGATAACAGTTCTGTGCGCCCGTGCCCGTGATATTGGTATCATTTTTCTGAAAACTGCTGTTTGATATGAAAGTATTCACTGGCACTCGTGGCTTCTGGCTCTAACTCCCTCCCCATCTCTTTTTCATTTCCTCTGGTTGCCTGGATGAAAATAATGCATTTATTTTCGTGCCCTTCGCCCCAGTCCCACTTAGAAAACTGAGAGCGGTGGTCGCCGGCTTTCTCGGCCAGCTGTGTGGTGGCTTTTTGTCTCGGAGTGAGGCGCGATCGCGATCGCGATCGCGTGTTCTCTGCAAGCGGGCCTCGCAGGGCTGACCGAGCCGAGCGAGCCGAGCGAGCCGAGCCGAGCGAGCGAGCTGAGCGAGCAGCGCCACGCAGGTTGAATCTGCAGGGAGGGAGCTCGGGCTCGGGCTCGGCCGCTGTGGTCTCGCTCCGGGTCCCCTCGCGCTGCTCTTTGGGAACTTCAGCGTCCATGCTATTTTTATGTTATCTGATTTTTGAAGTTTTATGTGCTTTTCAACTGATAACCTAAAATTGAAATACGGAATCGTGTCCATAAATTGTTCAGCCCTGTTTTACCCAGCTGAATTTACTTCCGTTCCCTTGGCTGTGTGCACGTGCGTAGGAGAAGAATTTCCCCGTGGGCTGCTCCTGCCGCTCCCTGCTGTTGGCAGAAGCCTTGCGGGTGGGGGTCCACACTGTTCCCGACCCGCCTGTTTCCATCATAACCCAAGATGACAGGAAAGGGAAATTAATAAGGTGGTTGTAGACCAAAATGGAGTTTTTAAATTTCAGGCAGCTGATACTGATTTTGGAGCTCTATAACCCCAGTGACGTTCACACTTACTTGATGCATATCGCCCTCAAGCTGTGTGCAGACAAAGTGTCTCGAGTTCGGTGGATCTCCTTCAAGCTAGTAAGGCAGCTCGGCCTTTTCTGTTTGTGAGTTTTGTAAACTGGAACATTTGTGTGTTTGCTGTTTTAACTTTTTTTTTCCCCTGGGTTTCATTCGTCAGCCAGCTTTTTAAGTTTTGAAATGGGGGAACTGTATTATTACAGTTTTATCAGTTTGCAGGACAGCTTTTTGTTGTTGTTCATTTGTTTTGTTGTTGTTTCATTTCAGTGATGAAAGCCATGGGGAAATCATACTGTATACGAAAACCTTTAATAGCTTCATTTAAAAAAAAAAAAGGTCCATCTTGCTTTAGTAGAACAGCATCTGCTGAGAAAACTGCAGTGCACAAAAACTGGCCCTGTTTTATGATGTGACTTCTGCAGCTAACTACAGAGAAAAATCTCACTTGAAAATACTGATTTTAAGATACTTGGCTGGTATTAAAATTTTATAAAAATGACAAGTTCTAAAAGGTGGTGATTTCCTTATTTTGCAAGGGGATATGTTCTAAATTTGGAACCTAAAACTTCACAGTACATTTTCTAATGTCAGTCCCCTTGTTAATTTCATTTTCTATGAAGAGTTATAGTGTGTTTATGAGTGTATGGATACTGCTGTATATTTAAACATCTTTTTTCTCTGTGTCGTAATGATGACTGTCAGAAAAATTACTCCCTCATTTTCTCTCTCTCTCTTTCTCTCTCTCATGCTTATAAATTCATTTGAAAGGTGGAAGGGTCATAAAATGTCTAGCTTCCATCTAGGCACTATTCATAGCCCTCATGGACAGCACAATTTAAACCTGCGCTTCTGGTCCTTTCCCCAGGTTGTGGCAATTCTGCAGAAGTTCTACTCACACAGTGAAAGTGCCCTGGGCTTACTCTTCATCAAGGAGCTCATCCTGAGGTTCCGGCACTGCTCTAAGTGGGTTGGAAGGCAAGCATTCGCTTTCATTTGTCAGGTTAGCAAGGCCCAGCAAGAACCTGCCCTGCGTGGACATGTCTTCTGTAGTGCTATGGAGTTCCATCCCTGAGCGCTGGCTGGGAGCTTGGGGGCGGTTCACCTGGCCTCCTTACCCAGCCTGGGAGGTGCAGTGCCTGGTGCACTCATTCAAGTCATTTCCACCCCTGCCGTGCACCATGCTCTGTGTGCTGAAGTCACAGACTCTCCCACTGGGCCCACAGCTCACTCCTGTCATATGCCATCTAGGGCTGTGCTCCTGCCATACCTCCTGGTAACCAAGGGCTTCCTTCCAGGAAGATGGGTGAAAAACATGGCTGTGGATTAGGGCTGAGACTGACTGTTTAACTTCTTTAGATGCACTGAGATCCTGTCAGCCTGTCCAGCTCCTGAGACAGCCCTCTCTCCTGAGCATTTTGGAGAGGAGGGACTTTCGTTCAAATGGGGATGATGGCAGTGATGATGGCTAACATTTCTCAAATGCCTCTTCTAATTCTCTAACAAGTGCTACTGTGTATTGAGTGGCAGATCACTGTTTTAGATGAAGCATTTAAAGCCCAGAGAGGTTAAGTAACTTGATCAAAATCACACAAAGTGTAAAGCCATTTTTTCCCTAAAGTGTTATTTTAAACGTTTTCATTTTTCATCATGTGTGTTTTTAAGCATCACAAAGTTAAAGGGGGTGGTATAAGGTATCGCCTTGAAGCCAGTCTCCCACTGCACTGATAGCACAGCAAAGCCAGACCCTAACTCCCTTTTTCTCCCTCATAAACACCCCAACCAAGATACTTGCCACCGCCCCCTGTTGGTCCAGACAGGTATCACGGGGTACTTCATGATAGCACAGCCCTTTGTGAGGAAAAGGTCTGCGTTCCAAAACATTCTTTGCTAAAAGCTGAAGTGAATCCTTTTTTAATTCTTTATCTAAGATTTGGAAAAATCTGTGGGAAACAAGGAAATGACATCAACTAGTTTTGTTTAAGAAAAATCAGTGAGGTCTTTTGTTGTTCTCACTGATTACAAAATGTAGAAACCCCACAAAACACCAACCAGAGGAAGGGGGCCCGTAGCCTCGTGCTCCTCCCAGACCCTCACCACCTGCTGTGTGAACGGAGTGGGGAAGGAGCCTGGAGTCAGAAGCACAATCCCATGTCCTCCTAGAGTGACTGGGTGATCCTGGTGACATTGAAGCCAACACCACTTCCTTCTCTGTATGGCCCCATGCACCCCTCATGCTGTTGCAGGCTCTGTGGGGTGAGGCAGGCAGCCAGCTGCTAGGGTCCTGGCGCCCACAGTGTACCTAGAGACTGCTGGCGGCTGGTGCTCTGGATGCTGCCCTCCACAGCACGAACTGCCCTCAGCAGGAACGTCCACAGGCCTCAGAGTCCACCCTCCTGCTGGGGGTCCCCACCTAGTCACCACTTGTTGGTCATGAGACCATGAGTTGTCACTGCTACGTTGAACCAGAATTTTCTGCTGTGAAACTAGGCTAGTTTGTACCTCTGAGGCTAGTTGTGACATTAAATGAGGGATGCATACAGCGGTCTCTGTAAGTAGAAAAACAGTGCAAAGGTGGTGGCCACTCCACCAGGAGCAGCGCTTAGTAGCTGCTTGCAGGGGGCTGGGCCTTGGTTTAGGGCCCAGGCCTGACTTGCAGCCAGTCTGTGCCTCGGCACCTACATTCTGGTGAGCAACGGAAGTTGGTTCCGAATCTTTTTGGTGAGCCATAGGCAGAGTGGTGGCATTGTGCTAGACGCTTGGCATGAAGGAGCTGCCACTGTACAGCTGAGGAAACTGAGGCCCAGAAAGGCTAAGCAACGGACGTGAGGCCAGATAGCTAGCCAAGTTAGGTTTTGAACTTAAATCCATCTGCCTCCAAAGCCTGTGCTCCCCTCTGCATCTCAGACTAGCTGTACACCAGTGTGGGGCAGTGTTCCATCATAAAGGTGCTAGTGTTTCTGACCAGATTCACTGCTGGCATTCAGAAGCACGCACACACATGCACCCGCACACGTGCAGGCTCTCAGATGACTTCTTTGGGATAACAGTGTATGTGTGTGGTGGTGTTCTTGTCACAGGCGGTGGTGAGTGAGGAGTGTGTCCCCGTGGACCAGTTCGTTGAGCACTTGCTTCCCAGTCTTCTGAGCCTTGCATCGGATCCTGTGCCAAACGTGCGAGTCCTGCTGGCCAAGGCACTGCGGCGGACCCTGCTGCAGACGGGTGTGTGCCGCACCTCCCTGAGCCCTCCCTGCGTAAACACGCAGCCTCCAAGGCACCAACAGAGTCCCATCACACGGACACCTGCGTGTCAATAAGTCGTGGCTTTTTATATGACATTTGTTATTTGCAAAATGATGAAGGAAATGGATACAATCCAGTCTTTATACTTAATAGACATGCTAACACGGAATACTGCCTAGCCTTCTAGGAAGCGGGGAGCTTGTGTAAATTTTGAGTCAGGGCGTGAAAGGCTATGGAAGGAAGCAAACTGCAGCCTCACTGCCATTAAAGGCCTTGACGTTATTTCATAGTCAGCAAGAAGTTATTTGAACCCAGCCTAGCAGGCTATTTCAAGCCTGGGTGAGACTTGGTATAAGTTGTGTGTCCTGTGAGTGGCATGTTTCTCCAGTTCAATAGAGAAACAACTCGAGCTCTTCCCTGCTTGTACACTTCTAGCCCTGCCCCACTCTGCCCGAGGCCTGTTCCCTATCCTGTATTCCACACATTGCCTGTTCTTTTGTGTTATAGGAAAAAAGATAGCAAACTAGTTATTATAATTTTTCAAATACGCATATTAAGAAATACTTTTTGATTGAGACATTTTGTCATTTGAAAGGACTTAAGTATATGACTGTGCTGGAAAAATGGTTTATTGTGCTGCCATGGTTTAAAAACAACAAAACTAGAATATGTTTTAGTACACAGTTCATTGCACATGTAATTCAAACTCTTTTCTTTCCCCCACCTTCAGGTTATTTTAGAAGTGCTGGTAACCCTCATCTTGAAGTCATTGACGAGACCATCTTGGCTTTGCAGTCTGATCGGGATCAAGATGTTTCCTTTTTTGCCACTCCAGAACCAAAGCAGCAGAATATTACAGACACCACTGTGCCGGAGAACAGCTAACTCCTCCGTGATGAATTGCACTCCTCATGCTTTTTGCTTGGCACATCTGGCTTGTAACTTGAAGGGGAGCTGACTGTATTTTACCTGCTGAAGGAGAAGGGTCTCTGAGCCTTTCATATCATGCACCTCCATGACCGCCTGCTTTCCTGTCTGCAGCTCTTGGGGGCTGAACTCCAGGTGGGGTTTTATTGCAGACAGCTCAGCTGGTGTCCTGCTCCCTCAGGCTCATAGGCCTCATCTATGACAGTCTGTAGGAAGCTTGAAGGACCAGGTGGCTTACAGCTGTCAGGGTCTCTGCACCTTCAGACTGTGGTCTATTGTAGACGGAGTACTAAAGTCCCCCCTTGCCAATAAAGTCGTTTACTAGAAGCATATGTAAGTCTTAAGTAGACTTCCATATTCTCTTATGGTTTCCTGTAAAATATAGTTTATGGTATTTTATTTTTGACTGAAATACCGTTCGTATATAAATAACTCTTGATAGGAAGAAAATATATGAACGCTCTTTTAGTTTCCCACCAGTGAGCTGAGCAAATACGTCATTTAAATTTATGTTCCACTTGAGTTGCTGCAAATATAGCCGAGTTGTTTACTTTTAAGAGATGTGATAGAGAATTCTGAAGAGTGATTTGTGGCAGTCTTCCTAATGTTGTGCTTTCAGTATAACTTTGGAGCTTTCCCTCGGGTGGTCACACTTTCCCATCTGTCGGGAACTCTGCCCATAAAGATGTGTGAAAGTGGCATGAAGCTGAAAGATTTTTCATTTTATGTGCGTATTGTCATATGTTTAAGAACTCAGGATGGAAACTAATAATTGACATGCATGGGTATTGATTTTATAGCTAATGCTTTTGAATAGTCACACAAAAGGGCTAGAGCATGGCTCAAGTGGTAGAGTGCCTGCCTAATAAGCGAGAGGCCCTGAGTTCAACTCCCAGTGCTGCAAAAAAAAAAAAAGAATCTTCACAAAAAAAATAGGAAAGCGCAGGTTTGATCAGAACTTGCCCCCAAATACCAGATTGTGGGGGTTAAATTATGTAGTCTTAAATTGCCCTAAGTATACAGAACTTAAATGTCATGCTTTAAAAATTTAGATTAAGAAGGTTGGAGATGTGGCTCAGGCAGTAGAGCACTTGCTTTACAAACTGGAAGCCCTGAGTTCAAACCCCAGTCTCACCAAAAAAAAAAAAAAAAATTAGACTAAGAGAAAGATGCTGTAGAATTTAAACGAATTTTTCATTAAGAATCCAAGGTTCTATAAATGTTTGAGTTCTTCATACATGTGTGCTTGTTTCTGTTTCTGTTCTTACCTTCACAAAGGTGGGCATGGGAAGGAGGGAGGAGCAGCCCCTGGGGTTCAGGAGCTGGCTGTAAGGACATGTGAGCTATTTTTGTTTTCCCCTTTATCTTTTCCTTGTATGTGTTTTCTCTTTTCTTTTTTTAAATAAAATTTCTTGAAGCTGTATATTGGATTTCCTGGCATACAGGATACCCCTCCCGCGCCCCCCCATTTCTATTGAACTGGTTCTTTCAAAAGAAAGGAAGGAGTCTCTACTGTGCCAAAGAAAATATGGTGTGAAAATGCCACATTGTAACCCAGGGTAGCACTCCGGGCAACTTTGGCAAAGAGTGACTTCATTAAAATTTAGAGACTACATATTTAAAAAATCCATTGTGTATAATCTGTGCCTAAAATAAATACATTGTCTAGAAAGTGAGATTGTCATGTTGTTAAAATCTGTTGATCCAGCAACAAGTAAAATTCTTCCCCTGAAATCTTGTATTCATTCTAAGCAAGCTTAATTTTCCATTAGGGGAAAAATGAGCTTCAGTTTGTGCTGTGAGATGTAGAATTTGGCCCTGGTAAAGACTGTGGATCCCCTGACCCCTTGCCCTTGGCTGGCCACCTCTGCAGGCCTTTAGCTCCTGGGTACACTGGCTCATGGCAGCCCCTGTGCCTGTCTGTGACCTGGGCCCCACCTAAGCTTGTTTGCTGCCGGTCTGTCCCTAGGGCACACTTCCCAGTTCAGTGTTCACCAGCACCTCCCTCCCTTCCAAAGTCAAGAGAAAAGTTGATGTGATGGAAGTGGCTTTGCAGATGTCTGATTTCCAAGGTCTCCCTCCCCAGTTCGTGGGTCAGGGAGGGCGCAGATCTGCTGAAGGGAGCCCTGTTTCTGCAGTGCAGGTTTTGTCTTTGCCTCGTGCTAGACTTGCTGCGTTTTAGGCAGGTCTGAAGACTGCACGCGTGTGCCACGGTCATCCCGAGCGTTTCTCACGCGTAATTCCTCCACGTGGCTGGCCCTAAATTATGCAAAGATCTGTGTTTTCAATGCACGAAGAGGAGGGAACAGTTTGGAAACAGGCGCAGGGTCCGGCCTTTCCGAGTGTGGAAGCTGCGAGGTTTGGTCCCGGCGGGCTCGGGCGGCCCGCGGCCCGGCATCACAGTCACGGGCGGGCTGCGGGGTGGGTGACGCGCGGCCTCGCTAGGGCGGCAGGGGGACCGCGGGCGCAGGGGCCATGCGGCGGGCGGCCGGGGCCGGCGGCGCGCGGCCCGGGCAGCCACTGGGGGGCGCCCTGCGTCCCGACCCCGCTGCCCGCTCCCGGCCCGCGCCCGCACAGACCCCCAGCCGAGGCCGAGGCCGGGGCCGGGGCCGGGGCCGTCGGCTCGCCGATGACCCGCAGGCCGCGAGTGCGTCGCCAGACTTGGCCCCGGCCCCTGATGTCTTCTCCGTTTGGGTGCGGCTGGAGGAGACCGGGGAGATGTTCCGGGTGGCAAACTGCTACGGCGACATGACCGTGCGGGAGCTCAAAGAGGAGCTGGACCTGATGGTCGCCATCCCCTTCGACCTCCAGCGACTCCACTACCTGGACCAAGGTGGCTTCTGTGACCCCTTCCCACATGACCCCAGCTCCCTCGCATGACCAGAGTCCCAAGGGCAGCCTACCTACGGGAGGACCCTGGGTGGCAAAGCAAGCCCCAGCCACCTTAAGCCCCCAGACAGGAGCACCTGTTGGGGTCCTGGCCACACAGGGGCTCCCAAACACTGGTTTACCTTAGACCCGTGCTTTGGACACCAGGTCTTTAGGTTAACCTTGTCCACAGCAGGACCCTAGTCTGTAAACAAATTCTGCTTCTGTCCACCTGCACCTGCCTACCATGAGCAAAGGCTTCTCCATACCAGGACTCAAATCTCAAAGCCACAGCAAGACCCCATAGCATCTGAACCCTTAACTCCCCCCGGGTCTCCATAAGGCATGCAAGTTTCCAAAGCCAACCATGTGCACATAGGACTGGAAACTTGAAGCAAAGCCTGTCTTCAGGAGGACCCCCAAACCAAGGGCAAACCTGCCTTGTGTTAGAACCCCATACTCACAGAAAACCCCACATCCTCAGCTGGACTTGTGAGCATCCTCTAGCCAGCTATGTCCATACAAAGGCCAAGACAATCCCTGCCTCCTCAGGAACTCCAAACCTAGAACAAACCTTCCCACGACCGAGCCCCAAATTTCCAGGCCAACCATGACTTTCTCAGAGCCCTGAAACTTCATCAACCATGCTAAAGACACTGAAGGTCAAAACAAATCCAGCCCATTCCAGGAATCCAAAACCCTGAACCCCAAATCTACACTTAACTACCGCTACCTCAGAACCCCAAATTCACCATTAGCTGTTTCCATCCAAGCAAAGTAAAACAAACCTGCCCACCTCAGGACTCTTAAACCCAGAACAAACTTGGTTGAATTTGAACCCTAAATCACCAAGCTAACCATGACTACCTCAGAGCCCTGAATCCTCTGGCAACCATGTCCACACAAGCATGCCAAAACTCTAATAAACCCTGACCACCTCAGGACCCCAAACCCAGAACAAACTTGCCCAAATTCGAACCCTAGAAGTCAAGGCAAACTATGACAACCTCAGAACCCCAAATCCTCCAGCAACCATGTCCACACAAAAAGGATGAAAGCTTGAACAAACCTGAGCCCCATCAGGACCCCAACCAAAACCAAACTTGCTCAAGAATGGACTCTAAGGCCAACCAACCATGACTATCTCAGAACCCCAAATCTTCCAGGCACCTTGTTCTTCCAAGAATACCAAAGATTAAAATAAATTCTGCCCACCTCAGAATTCCCAAACCCAGAACATACCTGCCTAAGAAAACCAATGCCAAATCTCCAGGCTAACCACCACTACCTCAGAACCCTGAATCTTTCAGCAGCCTTGTCCATGTGAGGATGCCATAACTCAAAATAAGTCCTGCCCACCTCAGGACCCCCAAATCAAGAACAAGCCTGGCCAAATCTCAGCCCCAACACCCCAGGCTAGCCATGTGACCTGGGATCTGAATCCCCTGCCCACCTCTAGGTCCCAGGAGCTGTTTGCACACTTTGCTGCCTTGACACTCAGGCAGCTGCTCCCGGCCACAGCAGAACCCTAAATCCCAGAGCAGACTCTTACCTACATTACAGCTTCTAAATTCCAGAGCAGATGTGCTCAGTTCTGACCCCCAGTCTCTAGCTGTCCATTGGTGCATCTGAACCCCAATCTAGCAGCCACTTCTGTCTACATAAGGGTGCCAGAGACTAAAGTGAACCCTGTCTACATCCAGACCCCAAATTCCAAAGCAAACTGTCTACATCTGAAAGCTAGTCCCAAGCTCACCATGACCACACCAGAACCTGGATCGAAGCAAGATGTCCTCAGGCAAAGTGTCAGGGATAAGATGAACCTTATCCACAACAGCACCCCAAAACTCAAATCAAACCTACCCATGTCTGAATCCCAAACCTGCACGAAAATTTTGTCTACACCTACTCCAGAGTAGAAGCCAACCATGTCCATGTAAAGAGTCAAGGTCAAAAAAACAAGCCTTGCCTGCATGAGAACCCCGAAACTCAAAGCAGACTGCACATGAAACTCAAATCCTCTAAAGCAAACCTTGCTTATATCAGTACCCCAAATCTTGGAACCCCAAATCTGTCATTATCGAGACCCCAAATCTCAGGGTAGACCTGCCCAGTTCCTAACCTCCAGTTGCTACCTGAGAACACCAAATCCCCAAATGAGTCCTGGCCATGCAAGGACTCCAAATCCCAGAATGAACCTTTCCCAACCCAGAATCCCTAAACAGACACCAAAATCCTGCTTTCATCAGAACCCCAAATCAAGTAAAATCTGCCCTTACCAGGGGTCTAGAGCTCAAAGCAAGCCCTGCCCACGTTTGAACCCCCAATACTGGCACTAGCCGTCTGTATCAGAACCCCGAATTCCAAGCTGTGTCCTTGGCCACATCAGGAACTCAAAGCTAGCCCAGTGGAATCAGAACCTAGTACCTAAAGCTCACTGTGCCTAACTCAGGACCCCAAAGCCCCCTATCTAGACGGATCCCCTGGGGGAGATGCCCAGTGGCACCGACCTTCCTATAGTCCATCTCTCCCTCTAGCATCTACTGGAGGGCATGGCTTACCCCGCCTCAGTTCCCTGCAATATTCAGAGTATGAAAACAAGACCGAAGTCCCTGGACTCCATCATCTCCCCACCTGGTTGAAATTAATGCAAAATACTTCAAGAAAACAAAGATTAAAAAAAAAATCTCTGAGCTGCTGGCACAGAACACGTGACAGTGCAGAGACTGCAGTTGTACTGGAGGGAAGGATGGAGACCCACCGAGATCTCCACGTGCTCCAGGCTCCTAGACACTGCCCTTCCCGGGCTCAGTCTCCTAATTCCTAAAGCAGAATCCTAGTAGCTCCAGAATTCTCGGTGCCGTCTCCCCAAGAACAGAAATGACTCTGGAAACTCCCACTGGGTAGCGAAGGCCTAAATTCCTTCCTTTGCACTCTTGAAAAATAAGTTCAACATCTTCCGGGGCCTATTTATTTTCTTATAGGAGTATTTGAAGGATGCTTTGGTTATTTTGGATGCTGTATTAGCAAGAACTTGTATCTTGAGCCGAGTCTGTATTTAACATGTTGAAAATGAGGTAAGGCATTGAGGAAGGAAGAGCCCTCCAGCAAATAACTTGAAAAATTATGTATCCCCCACTGCCAATGTCTGGACCCCTCTGTTCATTTATTTTCACTGATGAGCTCTGCCAAGCAATAAATTCAAGAAAGCTAAGAGGGAAGGAGCAAGATGGGGTGACTTAACACTGATGTCACACTGCTGCCACTCAGCAGTCACTTAGCAACCACTAGAAGCTTGACCTCTCTCTGCGGCTAGCAAGCAAGAAAGGGAGAAGGTGTGGTTTTGTCATTAGGAGAAATTTGGGCTACTGCCTGTAAGTAATCAGCTGACACACAGTCTGGTCCATCTCGAAGGGGACGGGGTAAACTCAGATTCGATCACGTGTGTGAAAACCCTGTCATGAACAAAGCTGCAGGGGCAAGCAAACTCATGGCATGGGTCACCCTTCCATGTCTGTTGTCAGCTCTGATCATTTATTTAGCTGGTGATAATTAGTACTTGTCTGAGTCTGAGGCAGTGGCTACCCGTGTGCTAAGGGGTGTGGCTGATCCCTGCAAGATCTACTCGGTGTGCGAGTGGCGCCCGGCCTTGCTCAGAGATAAGCTTTCCTGGAGGTTTTCAAAGTTGTTAGGAAGTGAATTACTGATTATTCTCCATGTTCAAACCACAAATAAGACCCTAATGAACAGATCTGCTGATCTGTGCTCTCGGTTTCTATCTACCGTCCCAAGATTCCCATAAGTGAATGGTGCTAACAGAGTCTGGAGCACACGGCTCACAGCTCCTGGTAGGTGTGTGGGGCGCTGGGGGGACCAGGGGGAGTGGCAGGTCATCCTAGCCTGTCAAGCCTCAGTTTGATCCCCAACAATGAGATCCATCTACCTTGGAAGGTTGTCATGGGAATCAAAGAACACAGTCCTTAGTACCTGCACAAGGTGATCTCTAAGTGAAGTTTCTAGCACACAGGCCCAAAGTAATCACTGTCAGGAACCCAAAATACCCAGAATTCCACTCCCTTGGGATGTGTGACCATACAGCCTGGGCAGAGCCAAGACTTTATGAGCAAAGCAAGTCTGCTGTTATTCCTAAGGTGGCCACGTGAGAGATGTGTGTGTGTGTGTGTGTGTGTGTGTGTGTGTGTGTATAAAAGAGTAACTACCACTGTACTTTCTTCTTGCCCCTCTCTCTCCCACCTCTGGGGGGGCCTCCCCAGAGCCTGACTTCCCAGCATACCCACCTGTCCTTTCACGTAAATGAGATGCGGTGCTGGGGAATGACATAGCCCAGGGCTCTGAGCTCCAAGTCCAAACACAATGAAGGTCAATGTTCACCTTTTACATTACCGGAGTCCTCACTGGGAACATCTTGTCTCCCTGTCTGGAGATGTTTCTTGACTGCAAAAACTAGCTGCAGGTGGTGTTGGTATCCCCTGGGTAGAGGCCAGGGAAGCACCTAACTGAGAGAGTTACCTAGTTGAGAATGTCGGTAGTGTCCACGTGGAGAAGCCCTTGCATATGCTGTCATGTGAATGATCCAACAACATTTTGTCATTGTCACCTCTTTAGCCACCTAATGAAAGCATTTAGCAGATTTGGTATTTTAGTCGAAGGTCTGTAACTTGCTTAAGTACATTGCACTGTGTCTATAACATACTTACTCCAAGTTTAAGTAGTTCTATTTGTAGAGTTTGCCTCATAAAACAACTTTACTGACTCATGTATTTTTCTGCAACAGGACAAGCTATAATTACAGAATTTTATAAATTGTTGCCACTGTTTTTTTGGTCCAGCTTCTATCCGAGCTGAGCCAAATTAATTTTCTGAAAGCATTAACGACAGCAGAGAGACTCATGCAGAATCATCAAATGAGATTTTTGCTCAAGATTCTAAAGTGATCTTTGTGGTGGCCAAGCGCAGTGGGTCTTTTCTCGACTCCTCAGCACTTTTAAAGGGACAATTGTTCCCCCTAGGAGTTTTGCTGGATGACACCACCCTGAAGTTCCAGGATCTTGTTCCTGACGGGATTATCTCCCTGTGCATCTGGCATTACGATGGCTGGACAGAGCTGATCTTGGCAGCCATAGATGGGGACCCCAGTAAGGTGGTTTCAAGCTTCTTGAAAGGATGTTGTACAAAGTAATGGTGACGCGTGTGGGGGCCAGTCTTTACTAGCGGTACGCAAAGTCTCAGAGCAGGGAAGGAAGATGAGGACCCAGGTCCCCACGTCACGACTGCCAGCTACTAAATGGAGTGTTTCTTTCATGCACTTGTTACGACTTAGAGACCTACCGACATCCCCACCCCCAAGGAGTCAAGGCAGCTGCTTTTTAACCTGTGTGCTTATTTTATAAAGTTGAAAATCTAATTTAGTACAAGCGAAGAATTTCCAGATAATCTGGAAAGTCTTGGTCCAGAGCTCCAGATCTTGCATGCCAGTGCCGTGAGGGTACAAAAATACACAGGGGGCCCAGCCCAGTTCCTGGGGGAAGTCCACTCTGGGCACAGCACAGCACAGCACAGCAGGCGCTGCTGTTTGCCAGGCCTCCCGCTGGGCGCTCTGCTGGCTCTGGGGTGGGAGGGGAAGGAGGATAAAGACCAGGATGTTTACCCATCAGGGAAGATGAATTGCTGGCACCGGGACAAATTTGTGTTCTTTCCATAGCAGGCATTCAGGTGGTAGAGCTCTGGGCTCCCAGGGAACAGGGAGCAGAGTTTCCTTGTGGGTCAGAGGTCAGAGAAAGCTGACTGCAGGGGGGTGTGGGATTTGTCCAGGGAAGAGCGGGTGGCTCTGGGAGGCAGGGTCAGGGCTGCAGCAACCCTCTGGTGCTCCCTACACCACACCCTGGCAGGAGGGTGGGCACCGCCACCCTCCAGACCCCGTCTCAAACACCTCCTTCAGTTCTTTCCCTGTTTCCCCTTTCTGTTCTCCCCGGCTTCCCTAGGCCCCTCTGCCCCAGAAATGGTTTTCCGGCTCTTGCTCTGGATTGAGGTTATTTCCCTCCTTTCTGGGTCCTTGTCCCTTCTATTCCTCTTCTACCTCACACCTGACCCGATTTCTGGAGCAGAGCTGTTCTCTGCCTTTCTCCTGATCCTGAAGAATTATTTCCTGACAAGGTGCTTCTCAGATGGATCATTCACCTGTGAGTGAGTTCACAGTGTTCCAAAAGTTAGCAGGACAGTGGGCACAAAGTGGGTTGGAAGGCCAGAATTCATCACGTCTCCAAGACCTTCCCCTCTTTTTGGGCCCCCTCTAGGGGGCCATGTTGTGTTGGTTGGTGTCTTCCTTAAGGGCCACAACCACTTTCCTCTGGCCACCAGCGGAGCTATTTTCTTTCCTCAAAACATTGACAGGAAGGCCTTCCTGCTTCCTGCCTGACCGACCACAACTCCATGCTTCCTGAGCATGGACAGCTGGACAATGTCCTCACTGTCCTTCCCTGTTCTTTCCACTGGCTTTCACCTCTGCCTTCCCCATGTGCCCTGCCTTAGGATTGAACAAACCCTCCCCCAACATGGCTGCCAGCCTCTGGCCACAGACTTCACTCTGGAGAGTAACCTGGCTCGTTTCCCTTGCCAGCTGTCCTGTCTCGGGATCACCGAGGACTCCTTCTACCGAACAGCACACTCTAAGCACTTTGAAGGTGAGCAGTGGAAGCAGTGGACATCCCAGAGGGCGTTTGTGGCCTTGTACATCTGCTCCCACAGAGGCCACACTGAGGCTGTGCGGTACCTTCTAGCACAAGGTAATTCTGCCAGAAAGCTCAGTGTGTTCGAGTTGGGGACAACAAAGTGTCTTGTCTTTCTGTACTCAAGTCTTGTCATCCACCACACATGGTCCCTGCCAGAGTCCCATCTGGGAGAATATCCTAGGACAGGCCAGGTCTCTAGAAGATTTTGTCTAGAGTCAGAAATTGTAGGACATTGTGACATAGGAGCAGCCACAGGGTTTCCAGGCTTGTTCTTTCTGACCAGATTCACTGCTGGAAACCCCCAGGCAGTCTGTGTCAGTTCAGCCCCATTGAAAGTGAGTTCTGTGGTGGTTCAACATGGTTAATGCCAGGGCAGTGGAGGTCCACTGGTGGTCAGCAGGCTGGCCTGGCCCCTTTCTGCAAACCTTCTATGGTTTCCTCAGGAGACTGTCACTCCAAACTGTCTTCTCACCTTGCCTCCACTTTGTCTCTGTCTCGCTGGCTGTCTGGGTTCCTGTCCATAGAAACAGAATTCTTGGCCAGCATTGTTCCTGAGCTGAAGGCTTTGCCGAGGGATTTTCAGGACTGCCTTGTCTCCTCCCTGGGTGTGGGATACTTGGGGGCGGGGGGGAAGGTGCCCACTGAGTGGGATGCAAACCCTTCAGAAACAACAGACAGCTGGTGGGGTGGCTCAAGTGGTAGAGCACATGCCTAATAAGTGTGAGGCCCTGAGTTCAAACCCCAGTGCCACCAAAAGAAAAAAAAAATTACTAGGGAACTACAGATCATAACAACAGTCAGTCCAGAGCCTAGCTTAGTGTGTGTGTAGGGGTGTTTGGTCTGAGCCTGCTCACAGGAGGAGCCTCTCTGAGGGTTCCCAGCCACTTGCCTCCGCATCAGGCCCCTTCTGTTCCCTAACCTGCCGGCTTGACCTTTGCTAGCCCCCCCCTTTATCCACACCTCGCTTTCCCAGGAGGTAATGTCTGTGATGGGCTCCACAATTGTGTCCTCCAGCATCCTCCAGGCCTTTTTGTCCTTCTGTTGTGAAATGAAATATGGCCTTTCCTCAGCCCAGCACCCCTTTCAGCTCATAAAAAGTCATTTTTCCTCTGATGGAACTCTGATGTATTTGAAGGTACCAGCTAAAAAATGACTGCCGGCTTTGCAAAGTTTTCTGTCCCCTGCTGTGTGGAGGGGCACAGCAACACTGGCATGCTAGAGCTTATTTAAAACCTTGCCTCACCAACCAGCCATAGATCACAAAAACTGGCAGCTGAGATGTCAGCGGAATTGGATTGAACTCCCTTGTTTTCTGTGCCATGATATTTGTTACCTGGAATTTGATTCAATTCAACAAGTCCACGTCGGACACCTGTCATTAACACATCCGTCTGCGGGAGGCAGTGAGGAATTTGATCCAAGTGAGATTTGTCCATGAGTCAGGCTGCTGTTGCCTGTCACTTCCCCTGTGCCTGTCTTCTCCAGGCTCCAACCTACATGCTGGGGACAAAAACAGCAGTTGTCAAAACAAGTCGTGGAGCAAATTATTACAAATAACTAATTCTGTGGTCAGTCACATAGGGACTGTTCTGAAGACTGTGTCTGCTGAGCTCTCACAGAGACAGGGAGCTAAGGAAAAGTTTCCTAAGGAAATGAATGAAACACAAAGAAGGCTAAGAGTTATCCCAGAAAAAAAAAAGTGAGAGTATTGTATGCAAAGGGAGCTGCAGGTGCAAAGGGCCTGGGGCAGGATGCAGAGCAGGATGTAGTTAAAGACAGAAGACAGATATAATTGGAGCCTTGGCAGGGGGTGGTTGGGTTGGAAGTGCATGAGTAATAAAGGGAGGTTGGATGAGCTGGAGCAACCAAGACTTAGAACATTACCCCAAGGGAACGAGATGGCAGTGATGGGATTTGAGGAGACTGAGGTGGGTATTGTGGGAAGATCATGGGCTGCTGCAAGGGGACAGACTGGACCCCAGGAATCATAGGGTTGGGAGAGGCAGCCGAGCTGTGCCCTTCGGATCAGTTACTTCTCACAAGCACTCCGGGCACAGCCCTGGCCCCCTCCTGTACCCTGTCCCTAGTGTATCTCTAAGAGTGTTGCTTATCACCAAGAGGGTGGCCCTTCCCCAGCCGGCTTTCTTATTCACAGGCACCAACTGTGTCAGCAAGTCCCCAGTGGGCAGGACGCCCCTGCATGTGGCAGCAGCCATGGGTCGGCTGGACTGCATAAGCCTCCTGATGAAGCACGGGTTCTCCATCCATGACAGGGACAACAAGGGGGAGACCGCCCTCACTGTCGCCCGCCGCCTGAACCGAAAGAAGTGCGAGAAGAGGATGTTTTTGCTACACTGCATGGCCAGGTCTGGGGCAAAGGACCCCCGCACCTTGCACATGAAGGACATCCTTCGGAGAGCCACCACCTCTGGCTTTGAGTCCAACAACAGCTGGCATTAGCTGTTCCCATGGGTTGCTGGCAGGCTGGGGCTGCCCGGGGGACTTTTCACCACTGCTGAGCTCAAAGCCAGACACGGAATTTGCTGTCATGTTTGCAATGACTTCGGGAGGGCATCGGTGACTGAGGAGCTCATGTTCCTGTGGTGCTGCGTTGCTGGCGAATGGCAGATGAGCCCAGCCTTTAATTTTGAGCTATTTGTACATTGTATCTGATCACGCCGGGTGGGGTGATGGGAACCAATTACTTTCTCTCCCTTCTGGAGGCCACTCAATGTGCCAGGATAATAGGAGTGATGACAATAATGATAATAGCACCATTGTTAGTGTACAAAACAACTGCCAGCGCGAGTTGGGAGGCCGTGTGCCATGTGTGCTGTGAACTTGAGCTTGTAAAACCCATGGAACTAAATGCTTCTGCCACTGGCAGTGCTCCTGAGGTTGGGCTGAGCCGTCTGAGGGGTCTGCTGCTGGATTCGGGGGGCAGGAGGGCACAAAGGAGCTGGGGGGGAGTGTGGTTCTCCAAAAGGAACACAGGTTGCAGGGTGGCAGGTGAGCTTAGATGTGGAGGAAACAGTGTTGTAGAAGACAAAGGTGATTCTTAGGAAAGACAGGAGCTGGGAGCCCCTTTCCCTTCATTCCCTGAGGCAGGACTTCACTCCCACCCTCAGGGTTTGTGCTTGGCCACAGGCCTCAGATGCCACACAACCCTAGACCAGGTGGTGGAGTGGGCCTGTTAGCTGCTGCAGGGATGAGCAGGGAGGGTGAGGATGGGCCCACGGTCTGAAGAGGGCACCAGGACCCAGCTCCAGCAGAAACGCCAGCCAGAGGCTGCTGGAACTTTCTACAGCCTTCTTGAGCTGAACCTGATTTTTGATGGGATAACCCTTGAGATTTAAATGTTGGTTCAAATCTTTGAAGACTTGGTCTTGAAGAAGATCCTTCAGAGAGGAACCAGACATTGGATGACATTTGGTACAAAAGGAATGAGAGTTGAGGCACCTCTATGGGAAATGCTGCCTACTGTCAAACTCAATTTGTTTCCCTGGGGAAAGTGCTAGAAAGAACCTAAGTTCCACTGGGGATAATCCACAGCTCTGAGGTCACAGCCAGGGAACAGCCATGGGCCTGCCACCCACCATGCTGTCTCCCACTGGCCTTTCCTTGATCCCTCAAAGCCCTATATCCTAATATGACTTCCAGAACTCAGGTACAAGGCAAAGGTCCCCAGAGCAGCCATTGAAGTTGTTTTTCGGGTGACTGACAGTGGCAGGATACCCTTTCTGACTTACATCCCAACAACCGGATCCAGCTTTGGAATTAATGGCCCGCCTTTCCTGCTGTCACAACAAGTAGGATCTGTGTTGACCATGGTCTTACACCAGCCTACGTGGCCGTGCGTGCCCTGCTCAGCAATCTGTTTGACAAATAATAGTCAGGAAAAAATAGCTCAGCATCCACGCTGTCAAAACTGAGGTCTTGTTTTTGGCAGGTGTTCTCCAAAGTCAATAGGCAGATATTAAATAACCCTATCCAATAGGCCAGTTCATTTCACTAATGAGGTGTGCGGAGGGGGTGACTCGGGCAACCCTTCAACTTAACAAATGGCATGGCTTCAAGTCATGTGTTTGCCAGGAGCTTAGCTAAGCTGTCTTTGTTGGTAGGAGAGCCAATTGCCTGGCACCTGGGTCTACAATTTCAGGGTCAAGCACTAAGGCTTCATGTGCCCGCCCAATTCAATTAGACACTTGGCCAGACATCGGGCAAGTCCCAAACTCTCTGTGGTGACATTTTTCTTAGTCTGTGATAGGAGCATTTGAACAGGCTCCCAGGTCTTGTGGACTCTTCATTTTAGACAATCTAAATGTCCCGTATTAGGGCTGGGAGTGGAGCTCAGTGGTCAAGGGCTTGCCTAGCCTTCGAAGGACCCAGGGTTTCATCCAAAGTACCGCACACAAACACCCTGTGCATTACACTGCAGCAAACCTGCCTCGCTTCTCAAATCAGATGTGCTCATAACCAGAAAAGGCAGTTTATTGTAACTCAAGTTGATGTAATGTTACATTTTGTAGCTATTCCATTAAATGCTTATTTTGAAGTCCCTGCCCCATAATTTGGGGGCTAACAGCAACAGAAATTGCAGGAAGACTGAAATTGCATTTTTGTAGGACCTTGAATTTCTTGGAGGCCTGGGCAGCGCAGAGGGTCCAGAATGGTAGAACAGTCAGGGTCTGGCGTGGCCCAGGGGCCATTCCTTTGCATGGGGAGGAGCTGGCTCCCTTAGAAGAGCTTTTCACACACAGGGCTGGCCTTCTAGTCACCAGGGGTAAGAGCCACTCATGTGGAGGTGGAGACATGGGGTTGGGGTCACTGTAGACCTCAGGGTGCGTCTTGCTGGCCTTGGGCAAGTTCTCAGCTGTTTCTAGCTAAAGATGTCCTGTAGAGGAAAGAGTAGGGTTGTCCCTCACCTGGGAGGCAGGGAACATTTAGCACGTGTTAGCTACTGCTGTCTGGGAGTATGGCTGTCCTGAGTAAAGTGATTGACCTTTTCTGGGAGAGAAGATGGGAGACCCACCTGGTACCTTTCCTGGACTCTCTCTAGTTCTGATCCCTCATATCTAATGACCTGACCTTTGAGCTCAGTGAGACACTGTCTTGTATCTATGGCTCTCTTGGAGGCGACAGGAAGGAGAATCCTCTTCATCTCAGCACAGCTGGGTCGTTGCTCACCTGTGAGCTTTAAATGGCATCCCAAAAAATGGTCCTTGGAATCAGAGATGTCCCGAGAGACAGACACACTCACTGGAGCAGAGGAGGATAGAGGCTGTGTTGGCCATCGTGTTTCCATTTGCCTTGGCTGCCAGGCTGCTCAGTCAAGCTCAATGCCCACCTGGAGCAAATACCCAGCTTACCTCTTCTTCTCCCTTGGGTGAGTTGCAATCGGCCCTAAAAATTAAGCTGCCTTGTATAGGGATGCCATTGTAAGTTGCCTCCTTTGTGGAAACAATGCAGTGCAAATTAGAAAGTCATGGTACAAACTGTGGGGTTTAGAGGGTGGCTAGCACATCTCACCCAGGGCTGGTTTGGTAGACCCTGCTCCCTGGTCCTCCAGCCTGTGGACCCAACCTGAGCTGTTCTTATGTGTAACTCTGTTGGCCTCTGGACCACTGAGCATCCCAGGTCTCTTGGGCTCCCTTGCTCTTGGCACTGTGCCTTCTCATCAGAGCCTCCTCTGCCAGGTTCTAGTGCATGTGGGGTGCTTGCCACCATTTCTCCCCTCCACTGAAGACATGGATGCTCCCGTGCCTGAAGCACGTTCTCTCACTCCTCTGCTGGGCCTGACTCAGTGAGAAAGTTGACCCCTTCCTTCCCCATTGCTTAGTCCTTTTGTACCATGGGGAGTCTCCCTCTGCTAATCTGTCTTGCTGCCTCCGGGCCCTGGCTGGTCTTCCTTTCAGACACTCAGGTAGAACAGACTGCCATAGGTGATGACATTCTGCTAGTGTTAATAGCATGGTCTTGGGTTCAGGATTTCCTTCCTCTCTCCCCTTCTTACTAGTGGGGTAAAGCTGGCACCAGTTGTCACCACCCAAGAACCATAGCTCCCTTGCTCACTATGTTGGCCTCACCCTCTCCTTCCTAACCTGGTCATGTTGGTGAAAGGACTGACCAATGGGAAATGTGCTGGTAAGAACCCAGGACCTGCCAGCCTGACCCTGCAGCACAGTGAGAGTGGCTTGGCCTTGCCATCTGGCAGGTCCTGTTTAGAATTCTCCTCTGCCACCAGTCATGTGGCATCAGGCCAAGCAATGGCAGCAATCTGAGCCTCAGTTTCCTCATATTCCCCTTACATCACTGGAGAGATTATATGCCTAGTACAGGGCAGACACTTGAAAAATGCTAGTTGTCATCATTGTTGTTATTGCTAGCACCACTGAATTTGCTTAAAATGTTTGCTCACTGGGAATCAATACATCCCTGCTTCCAGAGAGCTTCATACATAAATTCTCAGTAAACCTTACACAACAAGGGTCCAGAGCTAAGAATTCCCAAAGAATTTCCTTTAGACTTGCTGATGGTGATATTCAGCTGAGAGCTTCCTCAGCAACTTGCACAAAGTGTGTTCTCAACTACAGACTCCAGGGCTGGTCTGCCGCAGAGGAAAACAAGCTCTCGGGGAGAGGAAAATTCCAGTGGCTTGGTTCTGCCTCCGCAGTGCACACTGAGTACAGAGGCATCCAGCAGAGGGCACAGAAAGCCATTAACATTTAGAAAAACACCGGTGTCTGTGCTCGCTGGAAATGTCAGCGGTGCTGCAGTCTGCGTCGCTTAGAAAACTCGAGAGCAGGGCTCAGCCCCGGGGCTCGCAGGTGGGCATTTTGACCTAGACCCCAGAAATTGTCTGCAAAGTAGGCTGTGTGCACACGCACAATTTCTGGGGAGCATACACAGCGCTCTCAAGACACCCTAAAGGTTCTGAGTCCCCCCTCCTTCCCCAGGGTTCCACAACACAGCCACATAAATGAAGCTTCCCCCATTCCAGTTGCCAAAGAAACTGCACTGTCACCGTCAGCACAGTGTCACCCTTGGCCCATATTGTTGGTGCATAACTCAGTTTACCACTGGAAAGATGATAACCCAGTCCCACCTGGGGCAGTGTGGCCTGCGTGTGCCTGGGGAGCCATCCCAAAGCCACACGAGGGGCTTGCTGAGGTCTGTGTGCTTGCAAGATTACAACCTGTCAATGCTTCTGCCGATGCCCTGATCTGGGCCCAGCTACCCCACTTTTGTAAATCATCCTGCAGAGTTGGAGGCCCAGTACCTAAAGGGACATGCACTCAAATGTTAACGGCAGTGGTTTATGGTGGCAAGCCCCTAGCCACACTCCAAATGCCCACAGGGGAGCATTGGGGGCACATTCTGCAATTAAGAGATGACTTCATCAGTGTGTATGGGCCAAGAGGAGGTCACCAGAGTGTCTGCGTTGTGTCACTATGGGGAAG